CTCATCAGGGGATTTGGTCGACTACCACCGACCTACTGCCACCAAGGACGACCATGGAGGCTGGAACGGCCCATTCCCGGTGATCCGAAACGTGCCTGAAAGAGGACATATTGTTGTCAAGGCAGGATCTCGTGAGGTAATTGTGATGCATCCTGATGCTCGTCACACACTATACATCGAATGTCTCCTCACACGGGAACTTGGCATGGATAATATGGCCATGCAAACCGTCCTTGCTTATGTGGCACACCTCAGCGCAGGGAAACCTGCCAAAGTTTTCGGGTATATCCCCGATTACAAGGGAAACCTTAATCTGTCAGACGACAGCAAGTTTCACCCGCGCGTACACTTAGCACTACAGTATCTCGTACGGAATTACTTCCGAGTAGAACATGTAGTAGCAGTTCGATTGGCTAAGAGTGTGTCAAGCCTACCTGCAGTAAAGTACGCCACCGGGTCTACGCTGATCCACTATGACAACGACATCAGCCCGGCGTTCCACTATTACGAATGCGTGGGCACTGGCTTAAACATTTCTCAGATCACTGGTAGCACTCACTCCAGACTTATTCAATGCTTGACTTCACGTGTCCCTTCCTTAGGATTTCACGACGATTTGGCTAAATATCAGCATCCAAGCAACACGTCTGGAGAACACGAGTCGCCTGGAAACAGGCCTTCTCCAGACACACCAGACGCTTCATCGCCGAGCGAAGGCCGTCTGTCGACAATCTATGAGGAAAATGAGGAACACAATATTGAAGCTATGATGCTGGAAGAGTGGTACGACGAGCTACGTATGGACCTTCATCCTACGACGATTACCGATGATTATCTTTATTGCGTCCCAACAACTATGCTGCCCGACCAGTGTGTTTTGGTTTCAGCATTTGTGGACGAAGATGATATTATATCATCAGATATGCTCGGAGACGAGCCGAAATCATGTGAGTCCTGTCTAGTCTCTCTTTGTTCAAACACAGCCGACGAGAGCTACTCTCTAGACAGTGATGAATACGGTCCTTACGTTGAACTATTCTTTACATCAGAAATGTCTAAAATAGTGTTGGATCAGACGCAACTTGCACAGCTTGATACCGATATGGTCGCAACGATGAGAGTATATGTATCCTCTGCTGCTAAACGTGCTGTGGTTGTCAAAGAAGATGATCTACTAACCAAAGCCGACATAGCAGCACATCCAAAGGAGGTTAGTGAAGCCTTATATACTGAGCTCAAAATCTGGATTGATAATCGATGCTTTGAGATGTACGATTTATCCAAAGCCTCCAACATCATGACATCCAGATATGTATACAAGTGGAAGTTCGTAAAGATGGGTACCGAGAGCGTTAAAACCATTCGTCTCCGACTGGTCCTTCGTGGATTTATGGATACTGAGGCTTTTGATGTGGAAACATTCTCGGGAACCGCCCGAAGGCAGTCCCAACGACTCCTGGCAAGTGAAGCGGCATGCCATCCAGAGTGGATCTTAGCATCTATGGATATCGATAAGGCGTTCCTCAAGGGTTTGACCTATGAGGAACTTGCCCATGCCACCGGCGAGGAAACTCGCATGGTTTGCTTTACTCTTCCACCAGGAAGCGCTCAGGTACTTCGTACATTACCCGGCTTCTCATCCTACGACGAAAGTCGACACTGTCTTAGATGCCTCAAACCAGGAACGGGTACTAAGGACGCTCCAAGAGCGTTCTCTCTCAAACTTCGTACGACCACACGAGCTATAGGACTTACACCGACCAGCCACGATCCTGAATTTGAATTCAGCCAAGACCTTCTGACGGCAAAACATGTCGATGATATTAACATGACAGGTCTAGAGAAAAATATAGACGACTATGTACAACGTGTCGAAAAGGTGTTTGGCAAATGCAAGCTCAACAAGCACACATATACGAACTGCGCCGTTCGCTACACTAAGAATGATCAGGGAGATGTGATCATGGACCAGGACGAGTACATTAAACAACTACGTCCTATCACACACCCAGAACTTACAGGAGCGGCGGCCGACGCCAAAGCCACGAAACTCATTACCGACATGTTCGTCAGCCTGCGAGGAGCCCTCGCCTATGCCCTTCTTACCCAAATCTGGCTCATGGTATATGTGGTCTCTCTTCAGAAAATTCAAGAGCCCACCAATTTGCAAGTCAGACGTTTGAATGCTGTGACGCGAAAGCTGATCAGCAGCCCGAAACGCATCACCTTCCCTCGGATGAAGCCGACGAATGAAGTTGACATCCATAGCGATTCGGGGTATCGGAAGCTTACCGGGGAGGAGGATGACGAGACCAAGGGCTACGGCATACGCGGGGCCAACGTACTACGGCGAGGAAACTCGCCTCAAGGCAAGTCCGTCGTTCACCTCTGTGACGGACTATGCAAATCACACCGATTACAGGTGAGGTCCAGTTATGCTGCGGAGGCACTTGCAGCCGCACATAACCTTGATGAGTGTTACCCTACGCTCATTACTCTCCACGAGCTTAAGGCAGGGGCTTTGACTCCACGACAACTACGAGACATGCGTGAAGTTGGAGGCCTTGCTATCAAAGTCTCTCTTACCATAGACGCTGAGTCCGTCTACAAACCTTTACCAAGCAGGGATCTCAAAATACCTACAGAACGGACTCTGCTTGGACATATCAGCTGGATACGTGAGCTCATGGATATAGGTATAGTACATAATGTGCAATGGTGTGATACTAGGGATATGACCGCAGATGGGCATACAAAGGGAAGCATCGATCGGGAGCTGCTTCTGGAAGTGATGTCAGGCACTCAGTCATTTAAGTATGACGTGAAGCAATTTGTTCCCTTTCGGGGTCCCGAGGACAGAGACAAACCTAAGTCTAATCAATTTTAGTCTGTCCTTGTTGCCCTCGCGGTCCAGTTTGCCAGCACGGGCGCCTACTATAAAGGCGCCCCTTTAGCTGCTCGGAAACGAGCCTTATATTTCACGCCTGGCAACGAGCCGGCTTCGTACAACTCAGGCTCTTTGCCTTAATACACACTTGCTTGGTGAGGTATGGCCTAATTTTGGCTTGCCTCTAACTGAGCCGATAGCCCTTCATTGTTTGAAGGGGCTGTCCTGTATTTGCGTGAAATACTTTGCGAGGAAACTCGCCTTGCAGTCTGGTGTTTGACCAGACTGTACGCACTGTTTTCTTTTCTTTGCAAACAGTCGTGCGCGCGATCTTTGCGTGCGACTATGCTTTCCGTCTCCTCCCCTCCCGACTTTAAGGGTAGCTCTTTGGGAGATGTTACAGTATCGGGAGCATAGCTCGCGCGCCGCTGCCTTGGGCTCAAGGCACGCGCGCCCTATTTGCCCGGACACCGCGAGTGTTCGCTATGTGCTGGAAAGATCACTACATCGATCTTATCCTATCTTACCCATCCACCCCTCATACTGTACCTTCACAGCAGAGCGATGGATGCAATTTGCCAGGCTATATGCCCTATTTGAGTTACCAGGCTCACTTTCGACTGGCGCCGGAGTGGTTGCGCTCGGTGGCCCCGGCGAAGATGGCGACAGTAGTGGCCTGCAAAGCCACGGGCAACAAATCAGTAGATGCGGCCGCAGTTCACGAGTTGAAGTCGAAGTTGGGCCCTCCGCACCCGTGCATCGCGCGAGCCGCGTTCAGGGCATTGCTTGACGACGAGAAGGTGAAGACTTCGCTGGAACCTTTCCAAGCGATCGCAGATGTTTACAGCAAGCTCATTTTGAAAGCCACGATGGAGGATATGGGCTCGGTTGGTCGTCGCTTTAGGGTTCGGAAATGCTACGGCGAGAGTTTCAGACGCATCCAGTTCCGCACTGCGGACGGTTTCCAGATCGAGGGCGCGGAGATATCGAAGTTGTTGCTCGAGCATTTTCTGATCGAGGCCATGGCCCACCTGCCTGGAGGGTCGCCTCAAGCTGGGGGCCGCGCCTGCCAAACATCTCGAGATGATGGCACAGAAGTTCCTGGACCGCTCGAAGCCAAAGGGCAAGGGTCGCGGCGCGCGAGATACGAGGCTCCGAGGGATCGGAGTCGCGCCAAAGAGGTGCGCGCCTTCCCGCCGATTCCGCGAGAACCCAGATGAGCACCGACGCGTTGGGTTCTTCTTTCGGTCGTCGACGCACGAATCTGACTTTTTACCATGCTGCGCCTGAGAGACTATTTTGATGGTGACGGCCAGTGGCTACCGTTTCTCTTGGGATGCGGAGTATCGCGTCTTCTCCCTGCGCTTGCGCCACGGCGTCTGCCACCTCCTGAGCTCCGTGAGGCCCACCCAGCGTGACTTCGAGGCTCCGCCTTTCTGCCCTCGGCTTCCTTTCCTCTTGTTCAAGTCGAGAGGGTTGTCAGTGTGGGCCTGCGCCCCCCTCCGTTGCGGCTTGCTTGCTCTTCTACTGCTTTGTCCTTTCCCCCTCCTTCGCTATTGCTCGTCCTTGTTGTCGCCTCTCTCGCCCCGTTGTTCTCGTTCGTCGTCGTTGCTTGCCTGCTGGGATGTGGGCCCCAATTCGGGCGTGCTCGGGTTCTCCAGGGGCCAGCCTGGGGCAACCAGTCCTGGGGGCATCGGCCCTTGCCGGGCCCGAGAGGTTTCCGCCTCCCGCTCGCACGGGTTGCACGTTTCGCGATCGGTTTCGCACTCGCTCGATTGCGTGGCTGCGCGGTGCGCTTTACCTTGGCCTCGAGCGTTTTCTTCCGATCGCGCGATCGTCAAAGGTGCGTTGTTGTAGATTATCAATCAGCAGCAGCAGGCATGAGACATCATACATGCAGCGAAATTCCGAGTGTATTTCTTATTAGCACAGTTTTTTAATATTTGCTCCTTCTCCTCCTCTTTTTCCAGCATCCCCCCTTTCGATGTTCTTCGATCCTCCTCGATACTTCCCTCTTCGCTCCCTCTCGATCCTCTCCTTTTCGATCCTCCTCCTCGATCCCCCCCTCCCCCCCGATCCTCCTCGATCCCCGCCCCCTGTCCCCCCACCGAAGGGCACCGGCGAGGGCACCGGCGCCGCGGCGGCATCGGCCGAGGACGAGTGGCGGCAGCGGGTGTTGCGCCAGTCGCCCCAGGATCATCGCCGCGGCCGCCTTAGGGGCCTCCGCCCCCCCATCCTGCCGCAGATCCTTTTCTTACGCCTCCTGATGCCTCCTCTGCCTTTTCCTCCTCCTCCTCCTCGTTTTCCTCATCCTTTTCCTCTTCGGGGGGCCTCCTCCTCCTCCTCCTCCGCCTCCTCCTCCTCCTCCTCCTCCTCCTCCTCCGCCTCCGCCTCCGCCTCCTCCTCCTCCTCCTCCTCCTCCTCCTCCTCCTCCTCCTCTTCCTCCTCCTCCTCCCCCCCCTCCTCCTCATAGTCCTCCTGCTCATCGTCCTCCCCCTCCTCTTCCTCCTCTTGTTCCTCCTCCTCGTCCTTCTCCTCCGCCTCCGCCCCCTCCTCCTCCTCCTCCTCCTCCTCCTCCTCCTCCTCCTCCTCCTCCTCCTCTTCCTTCTCTCCTCCTCCTCCTCCCTCCTCCTCCTCCTCTCCTCCTCCTCCTCCTCCTCCTCCTCCTCCTCCTCCTGCTCCTCCTCCTCCTCCTCCTCCTCCTCCTCCTCCTCCTCCTCCTCCTCCTCCTCCTCCTCCTCCTCCTCCTCCTCCTATTATGTTTCCTAATCCATAACTCCTCCCTGTCGCACCCCGAGACGATTTGTTAAGGCGCACCGAGCGTTTCGCTTGAGATGTCCACACCATTGATGATTCCGACGTTTTAGAAAATCGCAACAGTTTCACAGATGGGGGACGGGTCGTTTTCACAATGTGGCTCTCTGTTAGCGCCGCGCACATTCGTTAAAAACATATGCCAGAACTTCACGGATTGACGGCGGGTGGTTTTCAAAATTTAGTTCTCGCTCCAGCGCCGCGTACATTAGTTTTGAACAATTGCAAAAATTTGACGGATTGAGGGCGGGTCGTTTTCAAAATGTGGCTCTCGCCGTAGCGACGCGTACGTTCGTTCTCCAAATTCGCAAGAGCTTCACGGATTGAGGGCGGGCCGTTTTCAAAATGTGGTTCTCGCTTCGGCGCCGCGCACATTCGTTTCTTTAATTTGCAAAAGGTTCACGGATTGAGGGCGGGTGGTTTTCAACATGTGGTTATCGCTCCAGCGCCGCGCAAGTTCCTTTTCAAAATGAACAGCGGGAAACCGACTCCAGCCCCCACAACCATGGATTTTACACGTCAGCGTTTTGCATTTATGGCGAACGTGCGTAAGTGTGGGCGCCTTGTCGGCGAGGCCATTGCCGGCTGCCGCAGGGGGGGCCCGCGCGCGCGGCGACGTGCTGGGCCCATTCGGCGCGGCCGCGCCCGCGCCGGCATTCCCAGGGCCGCGCGTGCCACGGCCGCGGCATGCAGTTTGAGGCGACGGCGGCGGTGCCCCTCGCACGGCAACGCCGGTGGCCCAGCCGCCGGCTCCCGCCCCCGCCTCCGTCGCCCCCCTCGTAACCCGCCGACGAACAAGTAAAGATCGGGAGCGCTTCTCTTGAGGCAGCTGTTCCAATATAAAGGTTTTGGGCGTTGGTATAAACGCATTTTTTGTTTGTATAAATTGTTCGGGTCTCTCCCACGCGAGATTTCTCGCGCCAGGAAGGTGCATATCGATTTCGTATAGAGCTTATATAGTTAATGTTTGGTTGCCTTGTGCCTAAACTTCCGATGCGCGCCCGTGCGGGGCGGGCCCCAGGCGTCGCCCCGCACTCTTGCCAGCACCGCCAAGAGCCGACGCGCCCCCTGGTTTCTGCTGTGGCACGAGCGCGCGAACATCCACAATGATTTTGGGCGTTGACAGCGCGCCGGCATAAACCAACACCAAGTTCATCAAACGCCAATCAGCATAGCAGCAACGCGCCGTTCGCAGTGAATTGCGCGGCGGTGTCGTTGGCTGACCGTCGAGCCGTTTCAATTTGCAGTTAACGCGACGCTTGACGGTCCCATTATTCTGAAATTCTTCATGTGGGGGGCGGGGGTTGTTTTTCATGCGGTCACAGAATTTGCAAGAGTTTCACGTATTCCCATCATCAACGTACCAGACATGGTGTTTTGGAGAAGTTCGAAATTATGCGGGCGCAACAGGTATGTTGATGCGGTGCGTCGAAATCCCAAAAATGGCCTTCTGGCACGATTCCAGATCGTCAGGACGCATCAGGCGGGCTGATCCATGGCGTAGAGATCCCGAGAACAATGTGTTGGCATGCCTCAAGGCCTTCAAACGGTCGTGTTCCAACGAGGCAGTACCCCCAACGGACACGAACCGCTGTAGAGCCCGATGAAAAAAACTTGGTGGGAGGGTTTTTCCCAACCATCCTGTGGTGTTGGGTCCTCGTTTTGAAGAGACAGCGCCCCGCGTTCACTCCTTCCTTCCTTCCTTCCTCCCGCTGCCCCTCCTTCGTCCCCGCACCCATTTCGGCACACCCCTCAAACGTTTCGTGGCCCCATAGGGAGTTCCACCGAAGGCCCCAGTGGCTGCGTTCGCATGGCGGCGCCGCACTCATTTCGGCACACCCCTCACACGTTTCGTGGCCCCATAGGGAGCTCCACCGAAATCCCCAGTGGTTGCGTTCGCATGGCGGCGCCGCACCCATGTCGGCACACCCCTCACACGCTTCGTGGCCTCATAGGGAGTTTCACCGAAGGCCCCAGTGGCTGCGTTCGCATGGCGGCGCCGCACCCATTTCGGCACACCCCTCACACGTTTCGTGGCCCCATAGGGAGCTCCACCGAAGGCCCCAGTGGCTGCGTGCGCATGGCGGCGCCGCACCCATTTCGGCACACCCCTCACACGTTTCGTGGCCCCATAGGGAGCTCCACCGAAGGCCCCAGTGGCTGCGTTCGCATGGCGGCGCCGCACCCATTTCGGCACACCCCTCACACGCTTCGTGGCCCCATAGGGAGCTCCACCGAAGGCCCCAGTGGCTGCGTTCGCATGGCGGCGCCGCACCAATTTCGGCACACCCCTCACACGTTTCGTGGCCCCATAGGGAGCTCCACCGAAGGCCCCAGTGGCTGCGTTGGCATGCACCCATTTCGGCACACCCCTCACACGTTTCGTGGCCCCATAGGGAGCTCCACCGAAGGCCCCAGTGGCTGCGTTGGCATGGCGGCACCGCACACCCATTTCGGCACACCCCTCACACGTTTCGTGGCCCCATAGGGAGCTCCACCGAAGGCCCCAGTGGCTGCGTTCGCATGGCGGCGCCGCACCCATTTCGGCACACCCCTCACACGTTTCGTGGCCCCAGCTCCACCGGGAGCTGCCACCGAAGGCACACCCCCACGTTTCGTGGCCCCATAGGGAGCTCCACCGAAGGCCCCATGGCGGCGCCGCACCCATTTCGGCACACCCCTCACACGTTTCGTGGCCCCATAGGGAGCTCCACCGAAGGCCCCAGTGGCTGCGTTCGCATGGCGGCGCCGCACTCATTTCGGCACACCCCTTACACGTTTCGTGGCTCCATAGGGAGCTCCACCGAAGCTCCCAGTGGCTGCGTTGGCATGCCGGTGCCGCACCGAAAAAGATGATCACTATTGCGGTACTCACAGCTGCATATGGTTGGGTCCTTCGCCAGGCCAATTTTTTCGAACATCGCTGATGAATCTTGGGTTTACAGTGGGTCCTCCTCCTCCTCCTCCTCCTCCTCCTCCTCCTCCTCCTCCTCCTCCCCTCCTCCTCCTCCTCCTCCTCCTCCTCCTCCTCCTCCTCCTCCTCCTCCTCCTCCTCCTCCTCCTCCGCCTCCTCCTCCTCCTCCTCCTCCTCCTCCTCCTCCTCCTCCTCCCTCCTCGGCTCCTGATCCTTATCCTGCGTCGCCCCCCCCCTCTCCTCCGCTGTCCTCCTTCTCCTGCCCCTGCTGCGCTTCCTCCTCCTCCTCCTCCTCCTCCTCCTCCTCCTCCTCCTCCTCCTCCGCCTCCTCCTCCGCCTCTCCCTCCCGTAGCCATTTTGGCTCAAGCCCCTCCCGTCCTCAGGGATTTCGGCTCGGCCGACACGGTCACCGACTCCCGCCTCGCCCAGCGCCGCCCGGCGGAGCCCCGCGCCGCCCGCTCCCGATGCCCGCGGGGCTCCGCGCGCCCACGCCCTCGCACGCGCGGGGGGATCCCGCGCACGCAGCTGCTCTCACTGCTTGCGCTGGCCGTCAGCCTGGACAAGATTCGAGAAACACACACACACGCACGCACGCACACACACACACACAGACACACAGACACACAGACACACAGACACACAGACACACACACACACACACACAGACACACAGACACACACACACACACACACACACACACACACACACACACACACACACACACAACACACACAACACACAAGACACAACACACACGACACACACACAACACAACACACAACAACACACACACACACACAACGCCATAACCATCATATTTTGGCGTTCCGCGCGGATGTCTTGGATCAGCGTATGGACCCCCTTCGGCGCCGCTTCTGGCGCGCGGAGCGCGCCAGGGAGGGGGTCCAGCGCAGATCCAAGAATCCCGCGCGGAGCGCCAAAAGTTTATGCTTATGGCGCTGTTGATTTCCCAAAGATGCCGCACAACCGATCGTCGGCCATGGCCCATGTTCGCGAATGCCGGCCGCTGCATTTCCAGTGGGGGGGGTCGGGGAACATTGAAAAAACACCAACCCGAAGTTCGGATCAAATTCGGGTCTTCGGGTTGTGTTGGGGTGGTCTGGTAGGTAGCCAGCATCGGCGACGACCTGAACAGCGTCGCCAACTACACGCAGTAGCTCCGCGACCCTGAGGCTGCCTGCGAGGGTGCCCACGGGCCCCTTCGCAACGGCGCTGGTCCGCTTCCCCCTCCTGCCGAGGGCGCTGTTGCTGATCATCGGTCTCCACACGAAGGGGCTGGTCCGCTTCCTCGCCCTGGTGCCTGGGGAGTTCGCTGGAGGCGCCGTCGATGGTTGTCTTCTCCCTCGTGCAGGCGCTGGTCCAGTACCTGGGTTTCCTGCTGCAGATGTGGCTGGGGATAGTCTACACCCACACGTTCAGCCTGCGACCGCTCGTCTGCAAGAGCGCGCTGTTCCGCATCATCCTCTCGAACAATCGGCTCCTGGAATCCCGGCGGGTTGGATTCCTCCCTCTGCATGTTCTGGGTCCCGTCGGAGCTCCTGGCCAAGAGATGGGAGCAGCACTGATTGGGGCCGTGGCGACTCATAACGAAGGGACAGAGGTCCCAGATGTTAGCCTCGCGCAAGGGAGCAGTGCGCGGAAGCATGCTGTCCCGTCTTCCGACTGGGTTGCAGTTTATGTTGCCAATGGTGGCGAAATCCTTCGTGATCGCGTCGATGGAGAGTGGACGCTATTGCCTTCTGCTTGCATGCTGCTGCTGCTGCTGGTGATGCTCGACCTGCGCACGATCCCCGCGAACAGCTTCCTAGCGACGCTGCTCTGTTGCACGCTCCCGCCGCTGCTGCCGCTGGTGGCGAACTTCTGCATGGCGATGGCGCTGCCGACGATGGTGGTGAAGCCTCTTGTGAGCCCGCCTCTGGAGAGGCCGATGCTGCCCTGCATGTTTTGCCGCTGCTGGTGGCGATCGACCTCCGCACGATTCCCGTGAACAGCTTCCTGGCGATGATGCTTACTCCTCTTCCTCCTCCTTCTTATTATTATTCTTCATACGTTTCTTGTTATCCTCTTTCTCCTCCTGCTTCTCCTCCTTCTTTGCCCCCCCCCCGCCGCCCACGGTGGTGAACGGCTGCTTCGGCCAGTTCCTCCCTGCGCGCCAATGCCAGCGTTCTGCATTATGTGCTGCTGCCTCTGGCGTGGACCCTCGTGCGCTCGTCTCGGGTGCGGCTGATGCTGTCCTGCACGCTGCTGCCGTCGATGGCGCCCAGGCCCTGCACGATCTCAGCGAGCATCCTCCGGGGGACAATGTTTGTTTGCACGCTCCTGCCGCCAATGGCGGTGAGCAGCTGCTACAACGAGATCTCTGCATCACGACGGAGCTCCTTTGCACGCCGACGCCGATCGTGGCCCCAGTGGTGACCCACACGTTTCTCTGCACGCTGATGGTTGCGTGTCAGTCAAGTCCGAGGCCCAGCTGCTCGACGACGCGGCCGTCGGCGGATCCTTTCTGAACAGGCGTGTCGATCTCTGCTTCGACGCTTTGTACCCCCTGATGCTCAACCAGACGCGTCGTCGCAAGAACCTCCTAATCAGGCCCGTCGGGCGCTGCTTCGATGCGTGGTACGACCTCGTGTCCGACCAGCCAACGGAGGGCGAGATGACTCACGATGCACGCGATGACCCTGAGGAAAGCCTCGTTGGTGATCTCCCTGAAGCTCATCCGCATGCTCATCTCGCTGATGGTGTTGACCACATGGCGCGGGTGACGACCAAGCTGGGGATGCCCCTCACGAGTTTGACGAAGGGGATCGGTCCCCAGATGGCTGTCTCAGGGATCTCTACCCGCACTGCTTGAATTCAGGGGCTGAGGAAATGAGTTGCCTGACAGCGCTCCCAAAGTACCACGCCAACCCAGAGACGACCACGAAGATTGAGACTCCACCTGCGTCGGACGGCCACTGTGAGCAGCCCCCGCGCCGCGGTGGGTCGGCCTTCGCCCTGGAAGATCCCATCAAGGGCGAGTTGGCTGTGCGTCGCCACATCTTGAAGGCCCCCCCGAAGTTGTTCGCACTGGCGGACCTGCTCAGCCTCCGCACCTGGGCGCCCAGACCAGCGCCGCCCGCGCTGCTGCCTGCTGCTTGGGCCGCCGCGCGGCGCGCAGCCGACCTCACGCTGTCGGGGTGGAGGGCCTTCGCGGACGCCTGGAACTTGCACGAGCGTGGGACGCCCTCCCGGCTCCCTGCAGGCAACCCGCATAGCAAGGACGAGCGAGTTTTCCAAGGGTTGCCCTTGCACCCTTGCCCCTTATAGGCCCATCGCTGGCAAGTTTCGCTGGCCAGACTCGAAAACGTCAACATGGCTCTCCGAGGCCCTTGCATCCTTACCGTGCGTCCTTACTATCCTGGTGGACTGCATCGCCAATCGTCATTTCGTTCCGCTGGGCTGCCCTGGGCTGCGCCGCACGGGGCCCAGACCCAGCCCATCCTGCAGTATTTCAACGCAGTAGACACCGCCCCGATCAGTGCGCCTGGCGAGAGCCTGCAGCGGCGCCGGAGGGCTGCCCTGGGCGCGGCCAGCGCCGCGGCGCGGCGCGAGCTCGGCCCAGCAGCAGCCGTACAACCTGCTCCGCCACCGGCCTGGCCCGAACCAGCCGCCTCCCGGGGTGGCCTGAGCCCTGGCCCGCGCCGCGGCCCAGCGCGTCCAGGTTCCGCCCGCACCCCCCCCCCTCCAGGTGGACCCGCCGCGCGCTGCCCGGCGCTGCCAGGCCCCCAGCGAGTGCCCACCAGACCGCGCCCCGGCTTCTTCCAGTAGGATCGCGCGGAAGCCGCACATCAGGACCTACGTCGACGGCCGTTCGGCCAGCCTCGGGTGTGACGGGCGGCTTGCGGCTCGCGCCATGACCCGCCTGGGCGTGCCTCGTCCTCCCGTGCTCCTTTCTCGGTGTCGGCCTCCTCCAGACCGTCCCAAAGCACTACCTCCTCTGCAGCTGTGGATGCTGCGTGGGCCCCGCTGGCAGCCCTGCGCGGGTAGGCGTGCTAGACGCACCGTGCCACGTGCGCGCCCCTCCTCCATCTCCATCTCCTCCTCCTCCTCCTCCTCCTCCTCCTCCTCCTCCTCCTCCTCCTCCTCCTCCTCCTCCTCCTCCTCATCTCCTCCTTCCCTCTCCTCCTCCTCCTCCTCCTCCTCCTCCTCCTCCTCCTCCTCCTTTTCCTTCTCCTCCTCGTCATCGCCATCCTTCCTCTTTATCGTCCTCGTTTCCCCCCGTCCCTCTCATCGTGCCCACCCTCTCCTTGGCCTTTTTCCCATCACCATTCCTGGTTTTCCGCCTTATCTTCCGTCCCCGAGTCCTGCGTTCTGCCCCCCTCCCGCGTCGCTTGTAAGCCTAATGCGAACGGACTTCGCTGCGGCCGTGCCCCAACCTGCCAGAGAACCAGGGTGGGCGAAACAATGCTAGACATTTGAAACTTGGATGCCTCCTCAGTCCCTCTCCGCCCCCTCCTCCACCCGAGGAGGATCCAGAGGAGAAGATGCAGCGCGGACAGTCGCTGGCAGAGAACGTCAGGAAGCGCGGTTCTCTGGCGAGGCAGCAGGACCCATTCAAGGAGACGCGTCGTCCTTCTCCTTTTCTCCTCGGTTTCCTTCTCGTCGTCCTCGTCGTCTTTTCCCGCGTCCTTGTCCTGTTTCCTCCTCCTCCTCCTCCTCCTCCTCCTCCTCCTCCTCCTCCCAGGGCCAGCTTGGGAACTATCAGGCAGTCTGTGTGCCATAGTAATGCCTTTTGCTGGAATCTGGCTATGGTTTGACAACCGCGTGTGCCTCTTTGGGCTCGCCCTCTCGCGGAGTCTTGGGGTCTTGTTGGGGCCACCTCGGGGGCCGATAAGCCCATCGGAGCCCGCCAGGACGATAAAAGGGCAGCACGTTGGTAAAAGCACATGCGCATTGCTTGTTCTAACTTGGGCCGTCCTGGGGCGCATATCCAGCCATCTTGGTATATCAGTGCAATCATTTGGGCCCTTTTGGGCGATCCTGGGCTGCCTTGAGGCAACACTTGCACCAGTTTTGGGCGTCCTGTGGTCGTCTCTATGCAATTATGGGGACTGGCGCCCGTTGGCCCGCGCTCCTGGCCCGCTCTTGGGATCCCTTGGGGCTCTCCTGGGGCCCTCTCACGGCTCTCTTGAGGTATCGTGGGTGCCCTCGGGGGATCATTGGGGCCTTTTTTCAAGCCACTTCGGGGCCCGAGAAGCATTTTGGAGCCCGCAAAAGCGAGAGGGCCAACCACAGCACACATAAGTGATTGTTGATGATTTGGGTCTTCTGGCGAGAATCGGAGCCCCTTGTAAGGTGATTGGGGCCCCAAATAGGCTCGAGGCGATTTTGTACCGTGTGGGCTTGCATGCGCGTTTGACTGATACCGTTTTTGATCCAGCTGCCGTGGCTGTGTAAAACGGGACATCCCATTGTCATGGTAGTGAAGAGCACTGCGTGTAGAACGAGAGTGATTGGGACGCCGTCGATATCACCTATCGATGGGCGACGATCTTCAGAAAGGGGGGTTTGGGCTCCTCTCGGTTCGCTCTTGAAAGAGATCAAGGCACGAGGTCGAGAGATCGAGGGAGCCAAGTGGTAGCGCGCCAGAACCCGATTCACGGTGGCGATGGAGCAGAGAGGGGCACAGATGGAGCAACCGCTCCAGGCTGCGATGCGCCTGGCGGAGGCAGCAGCGGCCGCCGCCAACAGAGCCGAGGAGGCCGCCGCCGCCTGCGAGGCCAAGGGCAAAAGCCGTCGTGGAAGCGGCGCTGTGCACATCGGGAACTTCTCCGGTGTGGACACGCGCATGCTGGGTCGGCTGGACACATTCGCGGGAACGGAAGCGAAGTGGGCCGACTGGAGTACGGTCATGAGAGCGTATGCGGGCTTGCGCAGCAGTGTGCTGCCTTGGCTCACGCCTGCGGCGGAGGCGCCAGACGAGGCCGCGACGAATGACGAGCTCAGATGAGAGGCCGCCGAAGCGAACACGTCTCTCTACTACATGCTGGTGATGCTGACACAAAATGAGCAGCTCAACATCGCGGTGACCAGTGGAGTTGGAGAGGGTCTTCAAACGTGGAGACAACTCATTGAGAGGTATGGAAGTGCTGCAGCGACCAGATAGGCGGGCCTCCTTCTCCACCTGATGATTTGGAGCTTCGCGGGCGACATCCAGTCCCGCGCTGAACTGTTCGAGAGGTGGATCCAGAGATAATTACGGGCAGAGGTCGGACGAGAAGATCAGCCTGAACCTTCGCATGGGGGTGGTCCTGAACTGTCTCGAGAAGGGGACCTTGAAGGACCATCTCCTCCTGAACTACAGGCGGGCGACGACGGTTGTGGCGGACGCGCGTGGCCCGACTCCGATGGACATCGGCGCGCTGGGCGGCGGGAAAGGCAAGTCAGACGTCGCGTGCCGCAACTGCGGCGGCCGCGGGCGCTGCAAGAGGGGGCGCAGGGGGCCCGGGGGCGGCGCGCGCCGGCTCCGGGGCAGCGCCCCGCTCCAGATGCATAAAGGACTTGCCGTAGGCAACGGCATCAACGGAGAGGGCAAGAGTGGCCCGATGAAGCGCTGCAGCTGCGGCGGCAAAGCGCGCGCGAAGGCGCAGTGCCCGGCCGATGACATCGACGCGCCCGACGAGGACAGCGATTGGCAGGGCGATTGGGACCAGGACGACGGAGAGCACGACCATGCGGAGCCAGATCAGGAGAAGCCAGTGGAGGGCTTGTTCATTTGCGGACTGAGCCAGGCAACCGACGCTGGCACGACGAAGGGCCTTGTGTTGGAGATCGGAGTCGACTCGCGCTCGGCCGTTTCGGCGCTGCCAGAGAGCTGGCCCCCGAAGGACGGGCTTGGCGGATGTTGCTGCGCGGCGACGAAGGAGAATATCTACGATCGAGGTTTGAAGGTCGCGAGCGGGCAGACGCGCGGCAAGGGGCCCCTGCTCGCAGCCAGGTTTCGAGCGACGAAGGTCCACGGGGCGCTCGCGTCGCCCAGCTAGATGGTCGACCGAGGACTGCGAGTGGAGTTCGACAGCGAGGGCGGCCTCGACACCAGCGGGGTCGCCGCGAGGGATACCGGGGACGTGGTCCCCTTCACAACGAAGCAGAAGGTCCCCGTCCTGCAGCTGCACCTGCGCGGAGGAGGAGGCTCGGCATTCCCCGGGCACGCCATCGCCCGCATGGCCGAACGGCGCAAGTCTGTGCCCTGTCGAGGCGGCCGAGGCGGAGGCTGGATCTGCAGGCGCCGGACCAGCGGCTGCAGAGGAGAAGGCGATTGCGGAAGAGCTGGAGCAGCAGGCAGAGAAGGAGCCGGTGGGAACGCCTGCGAGGGCACTGGGCAGGCGGGCCCCGCGCGGGCCGACGCCCGAGGAGAGGCGGCAGCGAGCGCCGCTCCGTGAGCCCTGCCGCTAGCAGTGCCCAGCATGCGTTTCAGGACGCAGGGCGTCGGACAAGCGAGCGTGGGTCGCACCTCTGGACGGGGCCATCGCGGTGGTCGGCGTCGACCACGGATACTTCGCGGCGCGCGGCGAGTCCGAGGCAGGCGCGCCCCGCTGTTGCGCGGCAGCGACTCGAGGCGCAAGCGGTGCCACTGCAGGGCGTCGCCGTCGAAAGGGATTGCGCGCACCTACATCGCGGCGGCTGCAAACGGGATGATTTCGAGAGAAGGGTTCACCGGATCGCGCTCAGGAGTGACGGCGGGGCGCCGATCGTAGCGCTGAAGCGCTTGGTGGGTCGCTTGCTGACGATGCATTATGGGGCGCAGCTAGTCCCGGAGAGCTAGAGTGCCCGCGACGCGCAGTCGGACTGCGAGCGCGCTGTTCGCGAGGTCAAGGCGAGGACGCGGTCGCTTGCGCAGAGAGTTAAGGCGCTCACAGGCGAGGGCCCGCCGAACAACTCACCAGTGGTGGCGTGGCTCGCACAGTGGGAGTCGATGCCCATGAACAATGCGGCATGGCAAGCCGTGCAGGAGGACGCTGGCCGAGTTCGGCGAGAAGGCGCTGTTCCTGCCAGTCGGCGAGAGGGGCATCAGGCTGGAGGCGAGATTCCAACGCGATCGCTGAGGGCGCCGACGACGCGCTCTGCGGGGCCTCGACGGACCAGGCGCGCAACGCACGAACGTTCCGTTGTCTACCTGAAGGAGAGCGAGCTGATCGAGTGTTCTTGCGAGGGGGTTGAGGCGCGCCGTGGAAGCGGCGCGGAGCTGACGTGGCTGCCCCGCGTGGGCCTGAGATCCAGCTTGCTGTGGATGTGGAGCCAGCGGTTCCCCTTGAGGGGCTACCTGCGGCGTCGGCGGGCCCGGACGTGGCGCCGCAAGAACGGCTGCGCCGAGGGTTCCGCGGGCCGCGAAGCCGCGCGCGCGAGGCTCCGGGCGCGGGCTCGCACTGAGGACTGAAAGGCCAGGATCGAGACGAGCATGAAGGGCGGCGCCGAGGCGGATGCGAGGCTCGCGAGGGCTGAGATCCAGAGAGCCCTGTACGCAGCAGTTCCAGGTGAAGCTGCAGGTGCTGCCTGCGCTGCTCCAGCAGCCGAGGGAGAAGGTGGCCCGATGGAGGTCGAAGCTCCCGTGGCTGGGGCCGGGCCAGTGGTCGCCCCTGGGCCGCCGGCCGTGGCCGACCCGTCGGCGCCGTCCGATATCGCGGCGCCGCCGCCCGCCGCTGCGGGGCGCTCGTCGCTGGCGAGGAGGCGCCGCGCGCGCGACGGCGGCTCGCCGGAGGTGGAGCAGGAGGGAGCTGAACGCAGCGGTGGCGCCCAGCGGGTCGAGGCGCTCACGCAGGAGGTGGGCTGCATCATCGGCGCGGTGGGCCTGGCCGAGGTCTACAATCCTGGCTGATTCGCGGAGGAGGCGCGGGTCTTCGGCCCCGCGGCCGGCGGCGTCGTCGATTCCACGATCGAGTCTTCGACGTCGGGCACGGCTGGGACCTGTCGGACCCGAAGGTGCTGGAGAGGTGCGAGGCGGAGATCGACGAGACTGGGCCCATGCTGGTGATTGGGCCCCCGCCTTGCGTGGTCGGTCCCAAGATGATGCTCAAGATGGAGTAGGCTATCCGCCACATCAGGCTCTGCGTTGTGCTCTACGAGAAGCAGATCGCGAAGGGCCAGCTTTTCTTGCACGGAACCCCTTGGGCGGCCGAGCCCTGGACGTTTGACGAGATGATCGAGCCGCTCAACATTGATGGCGCGGACAGCAGGCGCGGGACCCTGTGCTCCACTGGTCAGCAGGTCCGAGGGCCTAGTGGCATGATGGCACTGGTGATCAAGCCGACGGTGTAGTACAGCACCTCGTCGGACATCCTGGATGAGGTCGCGGTGGATTGCCCCAACCGGCACGCACCTCGCGCGCGCGCGCCCGCGCTGACACCCTCGACGGTCCCCACTGACCCTGACCCACGCGATTCCGCGAGGATGCCGACGTGCACTTCGACGCGGCCATGACGGAGGCGGCCTCGTGGGCGCGCTGGACGTCGGTCCGACGCTCGAGGAGGCAGGGCTCGAGGACACCATCGACTACGAGGTGCCAGTGGTCGCCGAGAGCCGGTGGGCCGAGCCCCCCCAGTCGGCGTTCTCCGACGACGCGTCGGGCTTCTCGCTGGACCCAGCCCTGGTGAGGCGCGCGAGGGAGGAGGAGATGAAGTACCTGGTGGGCGACCTGGACATCTGGGAGCACGTCGACAGGGACTTCGCCGTGGATCGCATGGGCGGGAAGCCGCCTACTCCTGCACGCTGGGTGGATACGAAGAGGGGTTGGTCGAGAACAAGGAATGCCGATCCGTCTCGTGGCGACGGAGACGAACAGGCGGAGCGCCACCGACGCCCGAGACAGGGGCGCGGTCTCCAGGGCAACGGTGCCCCTGAAGGCTGTTCGGGATCTCGCGTCGATGGCCATGACGTCGAGGGCCATAACTATGGAGCAGGACCCTGAAGTCGACGTCGTGCTTATGTTCCTTGACATCAGCCGGGCACGCCCGCGCGTGGACATGAAGAGGTAGCTGCGCAGTGATGCCCCAGCGGAGCACCATGCCGCGGACAAAGTTGATCGGCTGGTTGCTGAATGACTCCGACGCGGGCGTCTTCAGGAGTGCCGTGATGAGGCTGGTCTTGTTCGCTTTGGACCAGGCAGTCATCCAGCTTGCGGCGAAGGAGGCGGCGCGCGGGATGGCGAGACCAACTGTCCGACACCGGGGGGTGCTGAAGAGGTGCGTGCGATGCCTGATCCACGGGCCGACGTTGACGTAGGTTTGGAAGCGCCAGAGATTCCCGAGAGCCATCGTGACCCTGAGCAACGCGGACCGGGCGGGATGCCCGTGGCCACGGAGATCGACGTCTGGGACAGTGGTGCTGTTTGGCGCGCATCTTTGGCACGGCAGTTCCAGCGCACAGGTGCCTGTCAGTCTGAGTAGTGGTGAGGCGGAGACTTACGGTGTGACGAAGGCTTGCAGCTGGGCCCTGGGCACGAAGTTCCTAGCGACAGATCTGGGCCCTGGGCTGAATGATAACCTCCGGTTCGAGGGCGGGGCTGGTTCGAGCGCTGCGATCGGCATTTGCCAACGGCGCGGGGGCGGGAATATCCAGCATCTTGGCATCTCGAGGCTGGAAGCTCGCGGATCCAGGCAGTCTTTTCCAGCAAAAAGATTGACGAGCTGAAGAAGGTGCCTGGGAAGCTCATCCCGCTTGACATCGGGGCCACGCTCGAGCGCCACCCGAAGGCCATGTCCCTGGAGGTTCGGACGGCGCGCGCCCCAGAAATTCCTTCCGCAGCCGCGGCCGCACGGAGCTGAGCCCAATGCCGACGCGGTGGTCTACGGCTGACGAGTTGTCGCAGCAGGGGGCCTCAGTTTCAGCCTTGGCGCGGTGCCCCCCCATGACTGCGACAATTGAGTGGACGTGCGAGTCATGCGATCAGGCTTGCGACTGTCCCGGACGATGAGTGAGTGAGTGGATCGCCACGCTCCGCCATCTGCGCATTTGTCCGTGAACCTCGCTGGGTTTTGCGTGGCTGGTCGCGCGGACTGGCTACGAGCTTTTCTCTGTGGGGCGGAGTGCGGGCTGTGGCGCGCCCCGCCCTAATGGGGCCGGCGAGAACCGGAGCCTCTGTGTAAGGTTATTGAGGCCCCAAAGAGGCGCGAGGCGAATTTGCATCGCGTAAGTTTGCATGCGCGTTTGACTGCTACCGTTTGGGACCCAGCTGTTTTGGCTGTGCGAAACGAGACATTCTAGTCTCATCTTCGCCTCCTGGGAGAGGCTACTCGGCCATCTGGGACTGTCTGGAAGTGCGCAAGGGTAGCTTAAGACATCCTGGGCAATCCAGTGGGGGGCGCCCGTTCAGGAATATGCTTAGGAGGCATCAGACCGTGGAGGATTCCTGATCGGATGCAGGCGGCTGCGCTTCAACTGGAGTTCCACCCCGCTTCCAGACCCTACGCTCCTTGTCCAAACATTTTCACCATCTTGGCAGCACCTTGGGGCCGTCTTGGGGCCAGCAAGCGGCCTGCCACCCCCTGACCCACGCTCATGCAACGGGGTGCATCCGCCCGCTTTCGGGGGTCTCTCGCCAGCGCCTTTGGCGGCGCCTTGGGGCCCGACGCATGTGCGCAAACCCCCAAGGGCACACGCGCTCGCGCAGACCAGGCTAACCACACCACAACGCAACAACTCTATATGATTATATCCATGTCCCTGGTGGCGAGCATCGCGCGAAGCGTGCGGTCCGTCTGGTTTGATCGAAGTAGCTAATTCGGGCGAGTGGGAGGGCAATGTGAGGTGGATGCTCACATCTAGCGCGCGCACACACACACACCATCGGCGGCCAAGATGGGGCTAAGTTGGCGTCAGGACGGCCCCAGCATGGTTCCAGTGTAGCCCCGGTTGGCCCAAGATGGCCCAAGATGGCGACCCCCCAGGAGGCTCTGAGAAGACCCCACGATTAGCCTCCGAGTGGCAGAACTCGTATACAGTCGGACCGAGGAACAGGGTCGAGGTCGGTTCAGGGCGGGTACCATCGTGTTTTTCGTCTGATAGATGTTCTTGTGCATCCTACGGGGGGGTACCCTAGGATGTCTTGTTCGTTTTAGCCGGCGGAAGGGTCTCATGTTCTTGAAGGGTGCTCTTCTGGCCTAAGTCTGGCTGTGTTGTCTATCGGTGTTTGTTGGCGGTTGCCTTCAGTACTCTACAGCCCCAAATCGCTCCGAGCAGGAACAGGAGGCACTGCGGGAGGGGGGAACGGGCGCAGAGGCAGGACGGCGAGGAGGCGGCGCCGGGTGCGAAGGGACACGACGAGAGAGGTAGAGGAGGAGGAGGTGGCGAAGCAGAAGGAGATGGAGGACGAGGAGGAACATGAGAAACGCGAAGGGTTAAACGAGGAAAGGCGGGACGCGCAGGATGTCGAGGAGGCGGCGCAGGAAACGAATCAACAGTAATAAAGGGGGAGAGGCGCAGTAGCAGGAGCAGCAGCGGTGGCAGAAGCACGCGCAGGAGGAGGAGGAGGAGGAGGAGGTGCATGAAGAGAGGAGGAGGAGGAGGAGGTGGAGGAGGAACAGCAGCAGCAGCCGCAGCTGGAGAAAGGAGGCGACTAACGCGGAGAAGCCACGATGATATGAGCTGGTGGAAGAACTCGTACCGTCTCTCTCTCTCTCTCTCGTTCTCTCTCCGCGGGTATGCTGTGGGGACTCTCAGCAGACAAAGGAGAGAAGAGCGATGCACGCCGCCGGAGAAAAGAGGGGTGGCGCAAGAGGCGAGGGAGCAGCAAGGCGAATTATGATAATGATAATGATGACGACGATGGTGATGATGATGCTGATGATGCCGATGCTGATAATGGTGACCATGGTGATATTGCTGATGCTGATGATGTTGATGCTGATGATGCTAATGATCATCAGCATGATTAACATGTTGACGATGGCGATAGTGTTAATGATAACGATGATGGTTATGATGATGATTATGATGATGCTGTTGACGCTGGTGGTGGTGATGAGTATGATGATGATGAGGTTGATGGTGATGATGATGATGATGCTGGTGATGATGAATATGCTAATGATGGTGGTGATTATGATGATGTTGATGATGATGGTGATATCTATTATGATGATGGTGATGATGCTGATGCTGATGCTGATGCTGCTGCTGCTGCTGCTGATGATGATGATGATGATGATGATGATGATGATGAAAATGATCATTCTTTTTTGTTAGCGTGCTGCTGGTGATGATGAATTGGAACGAAAAAGATGACGACGACTATGCTGATGATGACGATGCCGACGATGACGACCACGATGACGATGACGATGGCGATGGCAATGGTAATGGCGATGACGATGATACGGGTGATGCGAATGAGGATGAGGATAAGGAGGAGGAGGAAGAGGAGGAGGAGGAGGAGGAGGAAGAGGAGGAGGAGGAGGAGGAGGACGACGACGACGACAACGACCAGGAGGACGGGGAGTTGGCGAATGAGCGGCAGGATGGCAAGGCTTACAACGACGAAGACGACGACGACGACGACGACGACGAGGACGACCGGCACTCCGCGAGCGCTCGCTGCCTCGACGGCGCGGCCCCCTCCCCTCGCCCCCCGTGCCCAGCCCTGGGGGTCCAGGTCGAAGACCCCCTCCTGGGGTTTCCCAAGGTGCCCCTGGCCTGGAGGCGGGCCTGTCCCTCTGCAGGAGGAAAACTCAGGAATAGTCACACAGTAGTCTGGGAAGCATTTTTGGTGGCCTCTTTGGGGTATTGTTTGGGCATTTTGGGGGTATGTTTTTTCTCGTGCCAAATCTCCCTGTAGGGGGACACGCCCGACCTAACCCTTGCCGCCCAATGTGTCGGGGGTGGACAGAACCCCCACCCTGACACGTCGATTCGTGACTCGTCCGTTCTCGGTTCTCGGGAGGGCGCCGCGGCTGTCATGTTCCAAGCGTGCGCCCGCCAGGTTCGGGCCCGAGGTGCCACGTTTTACTACAGGGGGTTCTGTCAAACTCCGAAGGTGGAGCCCCTGGGGCCCTCTGGGCCTCGTGGGGGATGCTCTGGAGGCCTTGGGGGCCTCCCTGGAAAGGCACCTTTGGCCAGGGACATGTTCTGATTTGGAGGGAGAGTGTGTATTGCAACGTCGCCGGTGCGTCTCGGGTCTGCACTGGTCCCTCCTCCTCCTCCTCCGCCTCCTCCTGCTCCTCCTCCTCCCCATTCTCACCCCATCCTGCTTCTGCTCTGTGATCGACAGGGGATCTCAATGAGAACCCCTACAGTCGGGGCGCTGAGGAAGGAACCCTTTTCGTTGAGGAGGGGCTCGGTGTTCCTTGATTGTTTCACAGCGTGCCCAAGGTTTTCCGTGGGCTTTCGATGGGAAGCCGAAGCTTGTAATTTATGGATATAAGGGGCCTCGTTCCTTATGTAGGGTTCCTTAGGTCAACGCCCCCCCGCTCGCGAGGACCTGCCCGCCGAGCAGCCCGCCGAGGGGCCGCTGACGCCCCGGGAGGCCCGCGGCCTCGCCGCCGGCCGCCGCCGCCGCAGGTCGTCGTCGTCGTCGTCGTCGTCGTCGTCGGCTCGGCCGCGTGGCGCCGCCGGCCGCCGTCGCCGACGCCGCCCGCCGCCGCCGCCGTCGTGGCAGTCGTCGTCTTCTCTTCGCCTTGCTCCTCTCAGGAGGAGAGAAGAACACACGGACACCATGAATCGTCGATCCCCAGGAAGATGTGGGAAGATGTGGGAAGTGGGGGGGGGAAACGAAAGTCCAGAGAATGTGGGCAAACAGGGGGAATCCTCTTATTTGTGTGTCTTTACTTGTGTGTCCCAGGGCCCCTTCATCTTCCCCCCCTCCTTTTCCTGTTCTTTATCCCCGATCTGCCTCCATGCTCCTCCTCCGAGTCCTCCTCCTCCTGCCCCCTGCTCCTCCTTCTCCTCCCTGTCCTGGCTCCTCCTTCTCCACCTCCTCCCCCGCTTCCTCCCCATTGCCCAGTCTGCCACTCCGTCGAACATAACCAGCGGAGTACTTCGCCAGTGCCAAATGTGTGGCCGGACTGCGGCGATGGCGACGGCGGGATGGCAGGAACGACGAGGGCCGCGGCGACGCCGACGAAGCCAGCGACGCCGACGACGACGATGGCGACGGCGGCGACGTCGACGACGACGACGACAGCGCCGACGACGACGACGATTGCGACGACGACGACGACGGCAACAGCGGCGACGTCGGCGACGACGACAGCACCGACGAAGGCGCAAACGAAGACGACGACGATGACGATGACGATGACGACGATGGCGACAGTGGTGGCGACGTCGGCGACGATGACAGCGCAAGCGAAGGCGCTGACGTCGACGACGACGACGACAACGAAGACGTCGACAGCGCCGACGAAGGCGCCAACGACGACGATGATGATGATGACGACGACGAAGACGACGACGACGACGCCAATGACGACGATGGCGACGGCGGCGACGTCGCCGACGACGACAGCGCTGGCGAAGGCGCCGACGAAGGCGCCAACGATGACGACGACGACGACGACGACGACGACGACGACGACGAAGGCGACGACGACGACGATGGCGACGGTGGCGACGTCGGCGACGACGACAGCGCCGACCAAGCCGCCACGACGACGATGACGATAACGATAATGACGATGGCGACAGTGGTGGCGGCGTCGGCGACGACGACAGCGCAAGCGAAGGCGCCGACGTAAAGTCGTCGATGTCCACGACGACGGCGGCGGCGGCTGCGGCGACGGTGGCGATGGCGTTGGCGTCGACGGCGCCACTGGATGCGCCGACGACGACGGCGAGGGCGGCTGCGGCCACGACCGTGGCAGCGACCGTCACGGCGAGGGCGACGAGGGCCGCGCGGCCACTCCCCTGCCCGAGCGCACTTGCACCCGCGCTCTTCACAGCCCACCAGGGCTGGCGCGAAGTAGCACCAGCATCCGCGTAAGACACAGGGCCGCGATGCTACAAGAGCGCACCTGGGCACCTGGTCGCAAGCCCTCACACATTTGGGTAAAACTGGAGCAATGCTTGGACTACAGGAACACGCTATCTCGGACGGCGAAGCCGCAGGGATGGTGGAAGAGACCATCAGTTCACACACGCACACACCAGCAGCAGCCATCGACCAGCTGCTGGACGAGTACCAGCTGGATCCGACCGTGCGAACATACTACGTTGCACACTGGCACATCCGCGATGTACCCGGCCAAGTATGTGCACCAGGATGGCCCCTTGTCCGTCTCATCGGACAGACACCAAATCCACGACGGCTCGTATCTTCCGTGGGGCGTCACCATGCAGGGCGACCGTGCGACACCACCCCCACCGCGCATGGGGTGGATCCTGGTCAAGGCCAACGGCATCCACATGCGGGCAACCGGCGCCCTTGCATATCAATGTGCAGCCACGCTACGCAGTCTGACACATTTGGAGGGTGCAAACCCACAGCTGTCCGCGCGAACTGCAGGACCAGATGGCCTGCCCCGCACAGGCCATCAACACCACCAGGTACAGCCGCGGACCTGATGCGCCATGGCGACGGATAGCCCAGGACAACGACCACCTACCAAGGAGATGGGTCTGCACCAATCCCGAATACGTCTTCAACGCACGTCCGTCTGTGCACATCAGCTCCGACACGCCAAGGACATCGAGCTGCGCACCCAACCGCGCTGCGTATGGCCAAGAGACAGGCGACACAATCTACCACTGGCATGGTCCACTGAACCTCATGGAGGTGGCCCAGCAAACCCATGGATGCGTTTACGCGCCTTGCGTGGCAACGGAAGGCACAACGCGCGCGGTGTCAGCAGCCGCGACACCGGCGCGGCTCTGGATTGATGCACATAACGCTAGAATCCCATCTGCTGACGGCCGACAAATGCGACCCCCAGCAACGACCTACACCAACATCGCAAGCCTGAAGCCTGGGACCACTACTACCACCGGAAGACATGTCTAAGCAAACGCTCGCAATCAGCACGTTGCCACAAGGCGTTGCAAAGGTGAGCGGGCCATCAGGCCTCCTCGCACAGCCGCAGGGTCACGCTGCCCCGCGCGGAGGGCCACCCGACGGCCAGATGCTGTCGCCTAAACCAGGCAGCCAGCCGAACCAGATGGACCTCCAGGGCAGCTAACCAGGGCTCCGCCGAGGGTCGCACACAGGGATGCTTCGCCATGGAACCCGGGCAGGTCGCTCGTCACCGCAGCGAGCCGCGCGATCTTTTACCCGGAAGACGCGCTAGCAAGCCACCGCGGCATCAGCAAGAGGAAGGCCTGGAAAGATTGGCGACACGTTATGGCGGGCATGGCCGGGGCGCAAGTGAGAACGACATAGGCCGCGACTGGAATCGTTCGAGCGAAGGGCTCGCCAAGACCCACGCCGATGAGCCGACTTTGCGCCTTTCTGGAGGAACCGAGCGGTGCGCCCCGACTCGCCTGCCTTCGACGTCCTCGAAGGTGGCGAATGACGCTTCGGGGCCTTGGAGTTCTTCGGCCCCGTCGCTGACGCCTGCATGAAACCCCGCAGCCCGACCCGCTATTCTTGCGAGAGGCCCAGCTGGCTCGGCGTCGCCCCCCCGGTTTCGCGGCGCCAGCGTAGAAGAAACGCGTCGCTGTCGACGCCGGCAAGGCAATGGCAGACCGCGCCGCGGCATCTGACGCTGCCAGCGGCCAGCCGCCGCTAGGCGGGGGCAGCGCGGCGAAACCCGCCGACGGCGCAACGAAGCCACTGGGCGAAGACGGCGCAGCTGCCGCGAGAGCCAAGCCACCACTGAGCGACGGGGCTCGACATGCCCGCGCCCCAAGTGGACAGGGATGTCAGAGACCAGCGGGCCCCGACCGACACTCCGGCCAAGCTCAGCGACGCCCCGTGCCGGACCGTCGCGCTCGCGCCCCCGCTGACGGCCCCGCGCGGAGCGCCGGCCCCGAGATGCCGCGCGTCGCAGGGGCGCGCCTCGGACTCGCAGCCGCCGTCGCCCACCGCGCGACCGCGGGGGGCGGGCGGCGGAAAGGGGCCGAGCCCAGAACCGCGGTGCCAGGGGGGGCGGGCGAGCGCGCGCGCGCGGACCGCCGCCGCCAGCGAAGCCGCCAAGGACGAACACATGCAGAGGCACAACCAGCAAGGCGCCCAATAATTACATGGCCGCCCCAACGCCACCACGCGCGCAGGCCGGCGCCGCTGGCGCAGCCGCGCCGGCGCGAGTCAGGGCCACTCGCCTCCGCCGGGGCGCCGATCCAGATTCCACCAGGGGTGCTGCTCCGAACAGGTGGCCGGCCGTGGACCAAAGGCGCCCCCTGCCGCCCGCGTCGAGGCGGGCCCCCCCGCGAGTCAAGCCCGCCAGGAGCTGCCCGAAGCACGGCCGATGGCAGGCTCCACGCGGCACTCTGCCGCGGTTTGGGGGGCACGACGAGGCTTGCAAGAACCCCGAAGCCACGAGACATGAACGTGCCAACGCGGTAGACGTCTACCCGATCGAAATGCCGAGGGAAGCACCCAGCTTGGCGGCCCGGGCCAACAGCGCAAGGTTCATGGGCAGCGCCGTCGCCGCGGCCGCCGTCAGCGTCGCCGCCGCTGCACGGGCGCCCCGTGTAACTCAGCGGGACCAGTGCGAGTGTAGCAACCAGGACCTCCCACCAGTCCGCCCCGCAGACGAGCGGGGCAACGCGGCGGCGCCGCCTGTCCACCAAGCGGCCGGCGATCCACTAGGATCCACGGCGCCGAAGGCGCTGGTCAGGACACCGCAGGGCCATCGCGACAAGGGCCCCGACTGCGCTGGATGAGATTTTGCCGCCCCAGTAGCGCATGAAAGCCCAGGGCGGAGTCGACAAGGGCCCCCCCGGCCACTCTGAGGCTGAAGCCGCGGCGGCGACGGCCCCAGGTCATGAGCGGCGCGCGAGCGACGCGGCGCTCGCGCGCGACTATTTGGCCGCGGGCCCCTCCGCCACCGCTGCCGAGGGGCGGGGGCGAGGCCGCCGACGCCGCCGCCGCCCGCGACGCCGCCGCGCTGTTCGCCCCCCTCGCCCCCCACCCCCACGCCCCCCGCCCTCTGCAACAGCGCGCTGTTCGCCGCCGTCCGCCCCGAGGGGCGATGGCGGATGTCTCCGCGGGCTCTGCGCGGCATCGTGGCCCCGGGCCATGCCGCGGAACGCGGCGCCGTCGCGCAGCGGGGGGCATTCCTTGGAGCGCGCAGGCAGGCGCGGCGAGACACCAGTCTAAACGCCAAAGCCGATGCGGTCCGCGACCACGCGCGAATTTTCCAAGGAGGCAGCCCCGTAGGCAGGCAGAGTCTGGCAAACCCTCGCCTAACTGGGAAGGAACTGGCCAGCTCTCGGAACGATTCGTGACGACTGGGGCACGCACCTGTCGCGTTTGCACCGTCCCATCGGGACATTCGCACATGCGTTCGCGGCATCGCAGAGGCGAGTCTTTCCCCGACGGACCCTCCACCACCAGACACGATCTGGGGGCGGTGGCGGCGGTTAAACAAGGCCTCGACTTCTGGACTTCTTCGACAACGCCCGGCCGCGCATAACCAGGGGTGTAGCCGCGTGCGCCGCGTGGCAGCTCGGCCTCCTGCTGGGCTACTTCTGCGGCGGTGACCACACCCAACGGAGGAAGCGCGGGCGGGTATCCTGGCCGACCCGTTCCCACTGCCGCCCGCATATAACCGTGGAGAGGAGAACCGGGAACGCGCCGTCTGGAGATGCGCGCGCTGGGCCCACGAGCGAACGGGCCTAGCTACCACGATCAAGGAGAACAGCGAAGAGACCTTCCGCCGAACGCGCGGCACTGTGGGCCATCCTCACCCAAGACGAATTCCCGCAGCCCATCCAGAGACCATCGCCGCGGGGCCGAGAAAAGGGCCATTTCGACGAATGCAGCGGCCCCAGTGGCCAATCACTTGAGCTCGGTGGCCCTGCGCGGCCACAGACCCGGCGCGCTCGCCCCATGCCCGCCACCTTCTCGCCGAGGCAGGTTCGGGCGCGCACGGCGGGCAAGAACGTTGGCTGAACCGTGCTGCCTGAGTGCGTGGCCTGGCGCAGTCGGCGCGACAGGCCGAGAGCCTGGCGCCGCTTGATTATTTCACCGCCGCGGCGGAGAAGCCCGCCCACGCCTGCTTCTCGACGCGTTCGAGGCCCTCCGCGAAGGGCCCCCCCGCCACAGACCGAGGGCTCACAAGTCGGCCTCTGGCCAATCCACCGGGTGGTCCAAGCCAAACTGGTCGCGTTCAGGGCCCAAAAAGTCGCCGACCACCTCGGAGGGCAATGGGCCCACGAAGGCCGCGCCCTTCCGATCGCCGAGGCCGTCAACCGCCGCGCTGGCGCGCTGGCAACTGTGGGGGCCCGCGTGCACTCCGCGCCGCAGGATTTGATCAACGCGGCCAAGTGGCGACATGCATTCGCGGCCGTTCCTCGCAGCGTAGCGGTCACGACGGATGGTTGCCGTCTCCGCGAGCTCCCACTTCCACGACGAGGGGCCGGATGCTCCAGGTCGGATTCCACCGGATGAAACCAACCCCGCTCGCCATATGGGGGCGGCGGGGACGAGCCGCCGGGCCCGCCCGGCGACCCGCCGCGCGCCCAAGACCCGCCGGGGCCAGGGAATTTTGACTAGCTCGACGATATATTGGACATCCCCCCGACAACTTCGAAGGCAGCGAGGACGCTCATCACCCGCCAGACCGTCGCGACAGCAACGGCCCCGGCGCGGATGACGATGGTCCACTTACACGTCCGAGCAGGCACGTGACAACAGCGACCCAGGAGGCGGAGGTCCACCATGACCCCACCTCGGGCGCAACATTGCGACCTACGCAGGACAACGCAGCGGCGGACAACGCGGGAGGCAGCACGGATCTCACCGTCGCCCCTGACACAGCCACACCCCAGTGCACAGCAACGCCAGCGACGCCAGCCGCCCGGGATAGGATCTGCACGTGGAAGGCGAGGGGTCGCGGCCTGCGCCGTGCGCCCCAAGGGCCAGCCCCGTGACCCCAACCCGCTAGGCTGGCCAGTGCCGTCGCACAAACAGCTCCCCAACGCAGTGCTTCCTGCCACCGGGCAGAATCTCCGCCCCGCCAGGGAGCGGTGGCCAAAGGCCTTAGTACCACCCACCAAGGTGCAGGCGCCCGAGCGCCACCAGTGCAGCGCACCGGTCGGAGACGCCGCGCAACGCTTCACCACGGCCAGACAACAGCCACCCCAGGATCGCGAAGCCACGCGGACCACAAGCCCCTTCGGCGCTGCAGTAGCGCGCCTCCACATCCTCGCACTCACGTTGCGTAACATCCAGGAACCGTCCAGACCCCTCCTCCACATGCCCCATAGAGCACAGCTCGCATGGAACGAGCTTCAACAGGACTTCCGCACGCCTGCTTCCCGTGGGGCCACCTTCCAGGAGAGTATCCAGGCGCGGCTTGCTGCTCACCGACAGCACACCAGTGCTAGTTCCCTTCCTTTCTTCCTTTCGTGCGCTGCGAGTGTACCTGGCAACTTGTTCAGCAGTCCTGGCGCTGGGCCGCCGAAGGGGGAGGCCCCAAGGCGGAGCCTCCTCCCGGGGCGCCGAGGCGCGCACGCCAGAGCGCGCTCAACGCCGATGTGTCCTTGAAGCACGGGCGCGCAGAGGGGACGCTCCACGCCCTCACCGCCACGCCTTTTTTTTCTGATCAGGGTCCCTCTTTCGACCGCGCCAGCGGGGTGGTCCCGGCCCCCTGCACCAGTTATTTAATCGCTACGCTCATTCCGCCGGCCCTGGAGCGCTATTTGGGGCCTCTTGGGGTCGTCTTGGGGGCTTCTTGGGGGCTTCTTGGGAGCGTCTTGGGGCTCCTTGGCGGCGTATTGGGCTCCCCTGGGGCCTCTTGGGGGGCTCTTGGGGGCCCCTTGGGGCGGGAGGCGGCGAAGTCGATTGCGGCCCCCCCCCCTCGGAGGCCACGATCCTTGTGAGGGGTGGCGAATCAGGGTCTCCCTTTCGACCGCGCCAGCGGGGTGGTCCCGGCCCCCTGCACCAGTTATTTGCGGCCCCTTCCGCCGAAGAGATGCGGGCAGAGGGCGTTTGTCCCCTCCGCCCGTGGATGAGCAGACCTGGTCCGAAGCGTTGCGCTTTCCCGCCTCCTGCTCCACCTTCCCTTCCCGCCTCCCCTTCTAGGCCGCGAAGGGCTACGTGGAGGGCCTCTTGTCCCCGCACCTCTCGCCGAGGGTTGCGCCCGAGGACAGGCGACGGGAAAGGCGGCACTGCCGCCACCAGCGGGCCCTCCCCCCAGCGAGGAGCTCCACCTGCGGGCCCACCCCCAGCGGGCCCACCCTCCAAACGGGCCACGCCACACGGGCCCCGCCGGGTGCCTGGTGCGCGTGGGGTATCCTGCCCTCCCCACCCCCAGCAGCAGGAAGGAGGAGGAGGAGGAGGAGGAACTGAAGGAGGAGGGGGAGGATTGGCTCAGATCTGCAGTTGGGCGCAAGGGCGGGGAGGCGGCGGGGGCGCGCGGCGCAGCGGAGGGAAAGCGGCGGCCCAATTTGCCCCTGAGAGATACAGGGGCGCGTTGGTTAAGGAATGCGCCCAGGAGGCTGCAGACCTTCGAGGATTCCTTATATATGATGAGGGCGGCGGTGATATTCATGGCCAAGCTTCGATTGGAGTTCCACCGGCATGCAGTCCCTGGATTCCTTACCTAAGGGCTCCTTATCCAATGCCCCCACCGTAAGACACATCGAAGATCCTGAGGACCTCCTCCCCCTCCGTCACGACAAAGGGCGACGTGCTAATGTTGAGGGTGAATGTTTGCCTCTTTCTTTTCCTCCGCCTCCGCTCGCTCTTCTGCTGGCAGTCCTGTTTCCGCCCCTTTTTTCCTCTATCCTCCTCGCTCTCCTCACCCTCCTGCCCCTGACAGGGGCGGGACGCACCATTCGGAGGGAGGAAATTCGGCACCACCGCCACCAGCGGGGAAACCCCAGCGAGGAGGTCCACGATACCTGGGATTGGAGATGTCTCGAGCGGGATGCCGCCGCGGCTCGCCCTGGCCAGCCTCGCGCCCAGCCGTCCTCGCCTTGGCCTTGCTCGTCCTCCCCGTCCTCGCCCTCCTCCCCCTCCTTGGCCTCCTCCTCCTCCTCCTCCTCCTCCTCCTCCTCCTCCTCCTCCTCCTCCTCCTCCTCCTCCCCCTCCTCCTCCTGCCCGTCCTCCTCGTCATCGCGGTGCTGGTGGCGCCGCCCCCTTTCTGCTCCCTCGAGGGCGCGCCCACGCTCGCCGACGTCGCGCTCGCGCAGACGTTGCTGCCGACCACGCCGCAGCGGTCGCCGCGCGAGGGCGTGGCGAGCAGCGGCGGCGCCCCCTCGGCCAGGAGGCCAGGCGGCAGGCCGCCGCTGGACCCGGAGCTCAGCACCGTCGTGCCAGTCCCCGAAGCAGAAAAGGGTAGGCACGGCACGCGCGGACCTCTCGTCGGTCCGCTCCGACGGTCCGTCGATTCGGCTGTTTTGTCGACGGTGGCCACCTCCACTTCGGCGGTCCGTCTCCACTTCGACGGTCCACAGATCGACGGTTGTTTTGCCCGCATCACCGGACCGCAGCACCGGCCCCCCCAAAAAGGGACAGGCCCCGCGAGGTCCGCAGAGAACAGCACACATCCCCATCTCGGGGGGCAGGAGGAGGAGGAGGAGGAGGAGGAGGAGGAGGAGGAGGAGGAGGAGGAGGAGGAGGAGGAGGAGGAGGAGGAGGAGAGGAGGAGGAGGAGGAGGAGGAGGAGGAGAGGAGGAGGAGAGGAGGAGGAGGAGGAGGAGGAGGAGGAGGAGGAGGAGGGGCGTGCAGGAGGCTTGGCATCGCTCGGACGTGTGTATTTTTCCTTCGGCGAGGACCATCGAGGAGCATCCTTGATCATTTGGCGAAGAAGCCACGCACGAAGCCGAACAAAAGCACAGGGAACGGACGTCCGAGCGATGGCCAGGGGGGGTAGGTCGGCCAGTGGTTCCAAGGCCATGCCAGTGAAGATGGGGATCGGTTGCACGATGCTCAGGAGCGCGTGCTGTCACAGAAGGCGATCGAGAGGCGGGCGCTGAAGCTGTACGAGAACAACGTGAAGGTCGCGCTGCTGAACTCGCCCAGGTCCGGGCCACCCAAGACGGGGTCCGAGCCTTAGCGTGGTCGGAGAAGCCCGTGTCGCATCGCCGATGCACTGGCGATGAGGCTCGACTCAGATTCCAATCCTCGCAGTTTTGACGTCGCCAATGCACCAACGACTCGGCGCGGCGCCATCCCCAAACCTTTGGAACGCCGTGATTTCTCACCATGTAGGCTCGTGGAGGTCCCTCGGCTACTCCTGCCGAGTCGTTTCTGTTGACAGCCCAGGGACCCGGCAGGGCCGCCAGGGGCCGAACACGGCACCAAGCATGTTCCGTCGTGCTCCTCGTCGGGCGGGGCTGGGACGAGGATAGTTACCCATCGGTCGTTGGAGTATGTATTTCTGGAGTCCCAGATTCCAATCTGCTTTGAGCGCCTTCCTACTGCAACGATCGAGTGGCTTCCCCTCTTCCCTCCTCGCCAGGGGGCGGGCGGAGACCCAACCCACTTCAACGCCTTCCTACTTCATGTTTCTACCTACTTCTTCCGACCGACGGGTAAGTCCGTTCCGGATCGTTCCGGAACGCTCTCAGAGCGGAACGCTCCGAGAAGGCCGCGGCGCCCGATCCATCCAGAGCCGCCGGATCTCAGAGGTTATCGATTTGTCCTCACCCGATTTGACCGTCGGCTTGGCTTCGTCCTACCTTTCGCTCCCCGAGGGTGTTCGCGGGGAACACGGGCGCAGACGCGCCGAACTTGAGCCTGGACCGTTTGCCCGAGAAGGTCCGGTCCCAGCTGATCAGTAGGTCGCGCGAGGAGGCCGAGGGCTGGCTCAAGACGCAGGAGGAGGTGGCTTTCGTTGCAACCTCGGGGGGGCCTCTTTGTCTGCCCTGTGAGCTCGAGTGGCGGTCTTCTCGTGCGGCGGCGAGCGAGAGGGGGAGGTGAGAGGGAGGATGCCCTCTCAGAAGGCGGCGGGACTGCTCAGAAGCCAGCACACCTGATAGAAGTGGTCTTCTCGTCTACGGGGACGGCTTGGAGAGCTTCTCAGAAGGCCGGTGGACTTCCGAGCCTACTGAGAGAAGGCCTTTACTTCTCATTTCTCCCCAGGCTCGCCGCCGGCTGTAAGCTTGAATGCCGGTCTTTTCTTATGACCGAGGCGGGTTTGAGGTGGTTTCGGCGCGGATTCGGCGCAGACAGAGATGCGATATGGCAGACAAGGTCCCCCCGAGATGCAATGTCAGGTGGCGAGGAGGGACGCGGAGCAGGAGAGGGTCCAGGCGAAGCTGGAGCAGTGGTACCAGCAGCGCGAGGCGGCGCGCATCGCGGAGGAGAAGCGGAAACAGGACGAGCGCGATGAGTTGGCCCGCAGGGAGAAGGCCGAGCAGGAGAAGTGGAGGAAAAACCAGGAGCAGCTCAAGAAGCGCGTGGCGGAGTGGGCCGTGCAGAAGGCGGCGGAGACTCGAGAAACGGCAGGGGCATGAGCATACAATGCCGTTTTCAATGCATGCTCCGCGTGCGGACCATGTATTAAAAATAAAGGTTGGTTAACCCTGGCAAGCAAACAGTAAACCCCCCGGCGATATCGCCAGCACAGAAAATAAAATAAATATTTTTTTTGGGCGGCGCCCTCCGGCGATATCGTTAATAAATACAAGGATGAGTCGATGCATTCATTTGTTCCTGAATCCTTCATGCATTAAGAGTCCTATGTGTTTAAACATCCTATGTATTAAAAACTGCTCTGTAATCTCTCGGAGGTCCCTGTGAGCGCCACGGGCCGGCGCCAGACACACACCCCCCCTTGGCGGCGCCGCCCCCGGGCGCGCTCTCCGCGCGCGCTCCCCGCGCCGCGTCGAGCAGCCCGCGGGGGGACCTCCGAGAGCTTTATCTCTTCGAGCAGCCGGGGGGCTTTTTTTTCCCAGGCGGCAGACCCAGACCCCCTCGAGTCATGAAAAAATCATGACGGGAGGTTTTTCCTGATTTTCGGCCTCCGGGGGCCCTCACCGGGCCTCGGGAGCGTCAAAAAACGACTCGGGATGCAAAGCCGGTCATGGGGAAAGGGTCGGGACCTTTGGGGGTTGACGTAATGAAAAAATCATTACGTCGGGGGTCTGGGAAGGACGGGGACCTCCGCGGGGGCTTTTCGCGGGGGCCTCCGCGAAGAGCCCCCGCGGAGCTCTTTCCGGGGCTTGTCGCTTCCCAGGGGACTCCGCGGGGACCTCCGCGGGGGCTTTTTTTTTTCCCAGGCGGCAAAGGACGGGATGAAGGAGCGCGCCGAGAACGAGGCCAAGCGGGAGGCTGCCGAGCTGGAGAGGCAGAAGCGGCGGGCCCAGAAGCAGCAGCTCCGCGAGTTCCACCAGAGGCGCAACGGCGACTCCACCCCGGCCACGCCCGGAGCGCCACAGTCCCACGCCAGCGACGCGCGGGAGCAGCCGCAGCCGCTGCAGCAGCCGCTGCCCAGGGAGAAGAAGGCTCGGAAGGCCCAGTCTCTGGCGCCGTACAAGAAGAAGCAGGATCGGCTACGCCTTGGCATCGCTCGGACGTGTGCGCGTCTCTTGGCGAGGAGCATCCTGGAGCATCCTGCGAAGAGAAGCGCGCGAGACCGAACAGTGCACTGGGAATGGGCGTCCGAGCGATGGCAAGACGCGGAAGAGTGACCCTTCGCGGGGGTGATCGTCAGTGCGGGCTCAGAGTTGTGGAGGACGATCAATGGAGAGGAAGCATGTTGCCAAATAATTTCCAGATGTCTAAAGCACGTGTTAAACATGTCTTAAACATGTGTTGAACATGCTTAAAACATGGTTAGGACATGCTCCCTACATTAGAAAACATTTGAAATTCAATGATAGGACTGTTAGGGTGTCCATCGTCGTGGCATCCACACGCTCACAGGGGTCCCACCAGCAATGGCTGGCGCGCTTGAATTGCTTGGATGGGCCCCCGCCGCGGACCCCTGAGGCCGCGCACCGGAGGTCGCTCTTGCCCGGGGTCGCTCCTCACGCGCAGCCGACAGGAGGGCTTCCTTCGGGAGTGGGATGCGAGTGCGGCCGCCGCCGTGCCGCTCCGCAGGCGCTGAGGCGGGCGATGCACGCAAGATGCGGCCGCGGACCAGCCCCATGTGCTGCGCGGCCTTGCGCTCCTGCTGTATTTTTTGCGCGGCCTTGCGCGCATGATGCTGGCTGCGCGCCCGCGCCGAGAGACTGCGACCTGCGCTGAGCGTCCTTCCTTGGGCGACCTGAGACCGAGGGCGACGCCGCTGGGGACTGAGAAGACCAAGCAAAAAGAAGGCAAGCTGAAAGAACACAAGGAAACATGAACGGAATCAAACAAGCAAGCAAGAAGACAGACAAAAAGAGCACGTGCAAAAAGCAGCGAGACCTGACCCCGAGAGGGACAGGCAAAACGCCCAAAAAACTCTCCGAGCACGAGCGGGGGCGACACCAGCGGCGCGGCGGCACCCGCATCACAGAGGAGCGGGGGGGGGGATTTGGCCCTGGGCCCGGGAGCGTCGAGCCCCCATCGCCCAGGCCTCGCCGGTCGGGGCGGGTGCCTGGCCTGGGGGGCACGGGAGCATCGAGCCCTGGTCGCCCAGGCCACGCCAGTCGGGGCCTGGGCGGGGGCGGCCGAGAGGGGGTTGAGGACTAGGGGGGGGGGGATCATGGCGTGGGGCATGATATCTCCTAAAATTCCATGGCGCCTCTTCTTCTTTCATTGCGTTCCTGGCCCCCCCCCTGGGCCGCGCACGTGCCGCCGGCCATGATTTGCGCCCCCCCCTCTTGGACGCCCCCCTCTTGGCCGCCCCCGATCTGGGCGCCCCAGCCCTCCCAGGAACGTGCGGTTCCGCAGTGCGGGGCACGCCGCCGAGCTATCGGCGACGCAGCGCCGTTTCTCAGTCGAGGCTTCCCCACCCCTCTCCCCCTTGTCTGTCATCCCCACTCGGAGCCGGCGGGGGGGGGCGAGAAGCAGGAGGAGCGATCCGTACGCATCCGTTGTGGCTCCAGCTCGAGGTTTGTGTGTGGGCCGCCGTCTCCCTTCAGGCGCAATCGCCCTCCGCGTTAGCTCGGCAGGGGCTGATGGCCGAGCCAGCTTGCACCGCCGAGACCGCCCGCGCGGCGGCGCTCCGCGCGGACCGCCCACTCTCCGCGCGGAGCCTCCCCAGCGGCGGCGCGCGGTCTTGTGAGTCCGCGCCGCGCCTCTGCTGGAGCGCCCTCGAGTAGCTCGTGCGGGAGCGCCCGCGGCCCGCCGCTCGCGGGGGCGGAGCTGCTGGAGCTCGGCCCGAACGCATGGCCTCGGCGGGAACTCGGCGAAGTCGATGCCGATTCCCCCCGCGCCGCTCGCCGAGGTGATGTCGAGTTCTCCCCGCCCCCCTCGGTGTTGCGCGCACGCTCGCCGAGGAGCCAGGATTCCTCAGGGTTCCCCCAGGGCTTCCCCAGGGAGTTGCCAGGATTCTCTAAGGCTCCCTTGCGGCTTGCCTGGGGAGTTCCCAAGGATTCCCTTGTGCTCCCCTAGAGTTTCCCTGCGGCTTCCCTAGGGCTTCCCTCGGGATTCCCTGGGGCTTCCCTCGGGCTTCCCTTTGGATTCCTAGGATTCCCGAGGGCTTTCCTAAAGATTCTTAAGAACTCCGTAAGGGTATCCTGGGGATTCCTAAGGATTCCCTTGGTCTTCCCTAGGGATTCCTATGCTTTCCCGAGTGCATCCTCTGGGATTCCTCGGGATTCCTGGGGGCTTCCCTAGGGATTCCCTAGGGCGTCTCTAGGTTTCCTATAGGAACCCCTAAGGATACCTCAAGTTCCCTGAGAGATTCCTCAGGGGTTTCTCTAGGGTTCCCCTCGGGATTCGTAAGGATTCCGCAGGTCTTCCCGAAGGATTCCTGAGGATTCCCTACGTCTTCCGTAGGGAATCCCCAGGAAGATCATAGGGATTCTAAGGCTTTACTCCTCGGGATTCACAGGATTTCCTGCGTAATCCGCAGGATTCCCCAGGAGTCCCTAGGGATTCCTCAGGGTTCCTTAGAAAACTTCCCGGGGCCGGCAGAAGCGTCGGCACACCAGAGTGTGCGGCTGCCGTGTTGGAAGGCGCCCCAGCGGACTCTTCCGCTCGGGAGAGGCGTCTCCCGGGGCCGGCTGGGGCGTTGCTACACCCAGGCGCGCGGTCGCCTGACTGGAAGGACCCCCCGGGGCCGGCAGCGGCGGCGGCAGACCTGGCGCCCGAACGCTCTCAGACGAGGCCTGTGCACGCCCCACCCCCTTTGCTAGCCCCGGGCCAGGGCCGGCAAAGGGGGTGGCAGGGGCCGGCAAGGCCGGGGCCGGCAAAGTTGTTGCGTTGTTGTTGTTGTTGTTGTTGTTGTTGTTGTTGGTGTTGTTGTTGTTGTTGTGGTTGTTGTTGTTGTTGTTGTTGTTGTGGTTGTTGTTGTTGATGATGATGATGATGATGATGATGATGATGATGTTGTTGTTGTTGTTGTTGGTGTTGTTGGTGTTGTTGTTGGTGTTGTAGAACTCTCACGATTGAAGAATATGTTATGTGTGGCTGATCCCCCCCCCTCTGGTGACCATTGTGGTTTTCAATTCAAGTGCTTCCCCCGGGGCTCGCACCCACTCGGCTCAAGCTGGGCACCTGGCCCCCGGTTTACAACAGTAACAATCATTTTAATATTGTTCGTTCACGCGTGCTCACGTGCCAATCAATACGTATATCCCAAGCCCTCGGTACCCGCCCTCGTCTTCGATCGTATCCGCTTAGGGGGTATATCGCCCTTACCTGCCGCTTGCATTTAGTGCATCCCCTAAAACAAGGAAGAGAAGACGGGTGGAAGGTGGACGGAGAAGAAAGGAGCGCGAGTGAAATTAGCGGGAGGGAGGCAAGGAGCAGAAAACACATGGTAGAACCAGACGGGCAGATCGGGTGGGCAGACCCATAGCGGGCAGGTCGGAAGGCGGGCCCAGGCGGCCAGGTCGAGCGGGCGGGCGGGCCGAGCGGGCGGATCGATCGTGAATTTTGCGTGATTAGCCAGGAAGTTTCCAGCGAGAGAGCGGTTCCTAAGTTAATTGGGAGAAGTTCAGCGAACGCGCGATTCCTGAATAGGAAGAGCGTGGCGCTTGAGTAAATTGCGAGGGAGTCTCAGGCGGGAGCGCGATGCTTGAGTAAATTGCGAGGAAGTCTCAAGCGGGAGCGGGGGACCAGAGTAAATTTCGAGGAAGTATCAAGTTGGAGCCGTTGTTGTTGTTGTTGTTGTTGTTGTTGGTGTTGTTGTTGTTGTTGTTGTAAGCCGGGGGCCAGGGACACAGTTTGAGGAGTAAGATTTTCCTTGATAGAAAAACACAGCTCAACAACAACACCGCCAACAACAATCATTCTAAGACTGTTCGCTCTTACTTGCCCGCGTGTCATTCAAAACGAGTTCCCCACACCATCGATACCCGCCCTTTTTGTCTTCGGTCACACCCCCTTTGGGGGGATTTTTTCTGTATGTGGGGACGGCGAGCTTAGACATGCGGGCAAACCTGAACGGGCGGACAATCCTTCGTGGGCGTGCATGTGCCCGCCATTGAAATCGGTGGGAGCCCTGCAAAAAGAGGAGGTGGAGAACGAGGGAGAGCGGGAGGACGGGAGGGGGAGGGACGAATGAAGAGGGAAACGGCAAGGAGAGAAGGAGCGAAGAGGGGGGCGGTTGATTAGAGGCAGAGACAGAGAGAGAGAGAGAGGTAGACAGAGAAAGACATATAAAAGAGGTAGAGGAAGAAAGAGAGAGAGAGAGAGAGAGAACAGAAAAAGAAAAGGGAGAGAGAGAGAGAGAGAGGGAGAGAGAACAAACAAACAAGAAAAAAAACAGGGAGGTAGGAGGCAGGAGAGGGGAGGGAGAAGGGAGGAGGGAGAGGAGGGAGAGGGGACAGGGCAGAGAGGCATAAGGATGAGGGGGGAGAGGAGGGAGAGGGAAGGGAGGAGAGGAGGGAGGAGGGAGGAGGGAGAGGGAGGGGGCGCGCGACCCCGAGGTACTCGAGCGTCTAGAAGGGGCCCCCGACGTCCCCGACGGCATTGGCCACATGATTTCGAACATCCCAGAATTCGAGCAGCGCATCGTCCTCAATGCGTTTCCCAACCTGCGCGGCCGCGTCGAAGTCGCGTCTGCCCGAGGCGGGCGAGCGGCGAGACACCGTAAGGCTTCGCGTTCTGGGCCGTCGGCGACGCTCTGTCGCTGATGCGCGGCGGCGTTGGGCCGCGGCCATCTAGGCGAAGCACATCCCGTGCAAGGCAGGCCGCATTGTTGGCAGCGGGCCGAGCGACCTCGCGTAGGAAATAATTACACGAACGCGCGCTGCACGTTGGTCTGCGATGACAAAGTTACAATAAGCCGTCCATCCGAGCTTCCTATTCACAGGTCCACACACGCAATTGTATCAATTACGTGAAATTCCCCGCTTGAGAGCAACATAATCATACTATCCAATCGTGCCAAAACACGATTCTGGGGATTTCAGCCTCGTGAATCAACGTCGCCGTTGGTGGCCTGACAGTCCTAAATCGTTCCCGAGCGCTCTGCCTGAGACTATGAGACTTCAAGACAGCGAATCAACGTGAGCGCTGCGTCTGGACAGTCCTAGATCGTGCCCAAAGACCATTCGTGGGATTTTAGCCATCCGAATCCTTCGAACCGCTGCGTATTTTCAAGACGGACGTGCGCGGCGATAGTGCGAGGGCAACATTTTGAAACCGGTCGTCCTCCATCCGCGGAGTTGCTGCAGTTTTTGAATACGAATGCGCGCGGCGTTACGGCGACAACCACATTTTGACAACGACCCGTCCTCTATCCGAAGAGTTGTTGCAATGTGTGCGACGAAAGTGCGCGGCGCCATGGCGAGAGCCACGTTGTGGGACCGGCCCGTCCTCCATCCGCGGAAGTGTTGTTATTTTTCAGACGCATGCGCGCGGAGCCAGGGCGAAAACCACATTTTGATAACGACCCGTCTTCCGTCCGCGAAATTGCTGCAATTTTTTCGGGCGAATGTGCGCGGCGCTGAGGCGAGAACATTTTTTGGGGAACGGCCCGCCCTCCACTGGTGAGACGGTTGCAAATGTCAAGCTGTAGGATTGTCCATGGTGGGTAAGTCTTATGCGGAGCGCCTGACGCGCCATGCAACGGGTCTGGGGGTGCGTCTGGGAGGAGAAAAACGATGGAGGAAGACGAGGAGGGGTAGGGGGAGGGGGAGACGAGGAGGAGGAAGGAAGGGGAGGGGGAGGGGGACGAGGAGGAGGGGGACGAGGAGAAGGGGGACGAGGATGAGGGGGAGGGGGACGAGGAGGAGGGGGTGGGGGACGAGGAGGAGGAGGGGGAGGGGGAGGGGGAGGGGGAAGAGAAGAATGAGCAGGGAGACGCGCGGCGCTGCGGACAAAACTCGTGGACCGAATTGGGAAACATAATCGAAACATCCCATAGCAGTTTTGGCGCAAGCCTCTTTCGTAAGCGAACGGTTTGGCTTGTCTTGCCTCCCCGCGCTCGTGCAGCATTCCCCAGGCTTTCTCCGATGGCGGTGCCAGCGATCGATGAATCCTGGCGCCAAGACCCGATACTGGTGGGTGACGCGGCGCCACCGGTCGGAATGAATCTCCAACGTTGCGTACCACCGACGCTCGGCGTCATCGTGCACGAGCCAATGTACTCTCGCAAGGTTGGCGTCGTGAGGGCCCGCACACCACATCCCGAGAATCTGAACGGCCTGCAGCGCGTGGCGGGGGCACCCGCGAGGCCAATCGCCTCGCATGGCCTCGTCGGCGCAGAGCTGGCTGGCCCAGAGTTCGTGGTGGGGGCGCCCGCGAAGCCCGCTTCCTCGCGCGGCCCTGACAGTGCTCGTGCACGTGTGCACGGGGCAGGCCTGGCGGGGTCCGCGGCCCTGAGAGGTGCAATCGGGGCAGCGGTGGTGTCTCTGCGCCGGAAGCTGAGCGGCAAGTCCTCATCTCAGAATTTCTCCGAGATGGAAGAGGCCTGGCCAGTGGCGCCGGCTTCGCCACCACGGGCCAGGTTCAGTTTCAGAGCTCGGTCGTATGTCGAGGCGCGTGCACAGCAAGACCATCTGCGCCTGAGAGCCGGTACTGCGTAGCTGATGTTTGTCTTCATGCCCCAAAAGGAAAACGCGTTGCCGCTGTGCAGAAACCATCTGCGTTTAAGGAGAATGATGGGATCGCCCTGCCAGCAGGTGCCCAGAATGAGGGGTAAGGAGTAACGATAAGGGGGGGTAGGCACAGTGGGGGATGCATCGACCCCGAATCGCCCATTGATCGCCGATAGCACCCCGATAGCCTCGACCCGCCCAGGAACGTGCGGATTCACTATCGGGGGCCCATCGCCGATCTGTCAGCGATGTATCGCCGATTCCAGGCCGATGGATGCCCCCTGGGGAGAGGGAACGAGGGGGGGAGCAGCACGAGCGTGGTCGTGGCTCGAGGCGTCGCCTGCCGCGAGTATTTTTGCACGTCTTGGCTCAACTTGCCACCAGCTGATCAGGCCTCGGCAGCTCGGCCGCACTCGGACACTCGCATGGCATCGCTCGAGCGTGTGCATTTTTCTCGGCGAGGGCTTTGGAGGAGCATCTCGGATCGTCTAGCTAAACATGCACCCGCGGCGTCGAGGAACGCAGGAGTAATGACAAAAGCTCGTCCTGTGCTGACGCAGCCCTGCGGCTCGCGCACGGAGTGCCCTGCCGCACTGCGCGGCCAAGCTCGGCCTTGCCCGCGTTGCCCTCGGTTTGAGGTTTTTTTCGCGTGTCTCCACTAGATTTTGCCCCAACAGCTTTGTCTCGCACCCAGCATTCATGCGCTGCAGTGGTGCCAGGGCATTCCCCTAGTGTGACAATCACAATCAGTCCTGCCACCAGCGCCATCGTGCATCATCACAACCACCATCATCATAAGAATCACCGTCAGCGTCATCATCATCAGCAGCATCATCATCATCATCACAAGAATCACCGTCAGCATCATCATCAGCATCATCATCAGCATCATCAGCATCATCAGCATCATCATCATTGCCATCATCAGCATACGTATCATCATCAGCATCAGCAGCATCATCATCATCAGCTTCACCATCACCATCACCATAAACACCATCACCATCACCACCTTCAACATCGTCAACCTCATCGTCACCATAACCATCACAATCGCCAACGCCGCCATCATCATTATTACCATCATCACCATCATCATCATCGTTGCCATCATCGTCAACTGTATCATCAAGACCGCCATCATTATCATCATCACCATCATGATCACCAATGGATCAACCAGTCAACAAAACAGCATCATCACACTACTCATCATCAGCATCATCACCATCATCTTCATCAGTATCATTATCATCATCAGCATCATCATCAGTATCATCATCACCATCATCATCGTAATCACCATCATCATCACCATCATCATAATCATCAGCATCACCAACATCATCACCATCACCATCACCATCCCAATCACCATCACCATTACCATCACCAGCACGATCACCATTATCAGTACTACCAACATCAACTTCAAGGTTCGGTGATGGTGTCTTGCAGTAGTTCCTCGCCTGCACCACCACAGTGTGCAGTTGCTGCGCCACCATCAGCCTGGTCTGTCCTGGCGCTGGTGTCTGATGCCGCTACTGTGTACAGGTTCGGTGTCATCACCAGCCCATTTTTTATGGGGCTGGCGTCTAGTGCCACCACAGCCTACGGACAACGGGCATCATTATCAAACTGGCTCAGTGGTGAGACGCAAGTAACTTGGCGAATGATCCCCCGCATGTGCTTATGTGCATAGCGGTGTGGGGTCTGTTGTCGCCAGAGCTCGTTCTCGGCCGCACTCAGAGAGACGTCCTGCGCTGACACAGCCATGCGCCTCGTGGCGTCTGAGAGTCTGACAGTAGTTCCTCCCCTGGCCCACCACATTGTTGTATCACTCTAATTGCGTTTTGTCGAATGAATGAATGAATAAAAGTTTTACGGCATTGACGGTGCACAGGTTCCGTGCCACCACCAGCTTGTTCTTTTCTTGCGTTGGTGTCTGGTGCTACCACAGCCTGTGGACAACGGGTATCATCTTCATCAGCAGCAGCAGCAGCAGCACAGCATCATCACATTTCGAGGGGCGTTGGGCATTGTTGAATTGTCGGCGCTGGATTGCCCTTGTGGGAGACGCAGCCATATGTATCTATGAGCAGCGCGTTGTGGGTTCCGCTGTCGGTGGAGCTTGTTGTCGGCCGCACTCGGACATTTGTCCTGCGCTGACATAGCCCTGCGCCTCGTGGCGCCGATAGCACAGCAACTGCTGTCTGTTCTGTTCTGGGGATGGGATCTAATGCCACTAGGTTGCCCTCACGGCCCGTTCTGCAGCTCTTTCAGCGCCACTGTTCAGCGAGAGATTCGTGCTTGTCTGTGCCACCGCGATGTGAGGACGGCATGCCTGGCCTGAGCCTCGCGGACCTGCTCTAACAGCATGTGTTTCAACTTCCCAGTTTTGCTCCATGCCCTGCGGCAATCGTGCGAGTGATGCTCGAACACATAGTTTATGCAATGGTCACGGCGATGACGTTGAGCTGGTGGCAGTGCTGGCGGTTGCGCTGGGGGCTTCTGCCGGGAGATTTTGCTTAGGGGTCGTGCTGGGGGATTCTGCTGGGAGGTTGTGCTGGGGGGTTGTGCTTGGGGGGTTGTGCTGGGGGGTTGCGTCCGGAGGTTGTGTGGTGGGGTTGTGCTGGGGGGGTGTACTGGGAGGTTGTGCTGGGGGGTTGTGCTGGGGTTTGCGTTGGGGGGGGGGTGCTGGGGGGTCGTGCTGTGTGTGTGTGCTGGGGGGTTATGCCAGGGGGTTCTGCTGGGGGCAGTGCTGGGGGCTTGTGCTGAGGGGTTGTGCTGGGAGATTATGCTGGATGTTTGTGCTGGGTGATCTTGCTGGGGGGTTGTGCTGGGGGGTTGTGCTGTGGGGTTACGTTGGGGGTCTGTGCTGGGCAGTTGTGCTGGGGGGTTGTGCCGGGGTGTCGTGCCGGGTGGGCCCCTGTGAAGCTCCATCTCTCGAGCTCGCAAGCTTCCCAGACTTCCTGTCTAGCGGCTTTGCAAGCGTCTCCCACAGGCGTTTAAAGCGCTTTGGGCTGCCCTCCTATCGGGGGTTTGGACGCCCATCGCATCTCCCCCCCGCACAACCCCCCGGCACCCCCCCACACACAACCCCCCAGCACAACCCCCAGCACAACGCCCCAGCACAACCCCCATCACAACCCCCCAGCACAACCCCCCCAGCAGAACAGCACAACCCCCCAGCAGAACCACCCCTGCACAACCGCCCAGCACAACCCCCCAGCACAGCCCCCCAGCACAACCCCAAGCACAACTCCCACTCCCCAGCACAACCTCTCAGCACAACCCCCAAGCATAGCCTCTCAGCACAGACCCCCAGCATTGCCCCCCCTGCGCACCCCCCGGCACGACCCCTCAGCACGACCACCCAGCACCCTACTCAGCGCAACCTCCCAGCTCAACGCCCCAGCACCCCCAGCACAACCCCCCAGCACAACCCCCAGCACAACCCCCAGCACACCCCCCAGCACAACCCCCCAGCACAACAACCCAGTACAACCCCGCAGCACAACCCCACCGCACAACCGCCCAGCACAACCGCCCAGCATGACCCCTCAACACAACCGCCACTGCACAACCTTCCAGCACAACCTCCCAGCACGATCCCCCCAGCACGATCCCCCAGCACAACCCTCCATCACAGGCCCCCAGTACAATTCCACAGCACAATTCCCAGCACAACCGCCCAGCACAGCCCCACCGCACAACCCCCCAGCACAACCTCCCAGCACCGCAACCTCCCAGCACAACAACCCCCCAGCACAACAACCCCCCAGTACAACCTCCAGCACAACCCACCAGCACAACCCCCTAGCACAACCCCCCAGCACAGCCCCCCCTGCACAACCCCCCAGCACGACCCCCCAGCACAACATCCCAGCACAACCCCCAGCACACACCTCAGCAGAACTGTTTCTGGGCACTGGTCATTGCGGCGTACTCTTTGAGGCCGACCGTCTTTGCTGTGGCGCCCGTCTCAGGCAAGTGCCGCCACAACAATCTCCAGTCCTGCTCGGACACGGCCGGCACGGAGGGAGCGCCGAAGGCATCGGCGAGCACGTCCATCGTTCGAAGTCCTATCATCCCTCTGTGCGGAGGTAGTTTAGAGCGTTTCCTCTGGCAATCCCGTTCTTCCCCTTCGGGCATGTCCCTTCCCCGCGCCAGACCAACCACGCCGCATGTGGCAATAGTCTAGCAAATCAGCGCGCAACGAATCAATGCGGTCGATCTGGGCGGTCGTGCTGGGGGTTACGCTGCTGGTCGTGGGAGGTTGTGCTGGGGAGTTGTGCTGGGGGTTGTGCTGGGAGATTGTGTTGCGAGGTCGTGTTGTGGGTTTGTGCTGGGGGGTCCGGCTGGGGGGTTGTGCTGGGGGGTTCTGCTATGCTGGAGGATGTGCTGGGGGGTTATGATGGGGAGTTGTGCTGGGGAATTGTGTTAGAGGGTGCTGGAGGGTTGCGCTGAGGCTGTGCTGGGGGGTTGTGCTGGGGGCTTGTGCGGTGGGGTGTGCTGGAAGGTTGTGCTGGGGGATCGTGCTGCGGCGATGTGCTGGGGGGTTATGCCGGGAGGTTGTGCTAGGGGTTGTGCTGGGGGCTTGTGCGGTGGGGTGTTGTGCGGGGGAATTGTGTTGGGGGACTGTGCTGGAGGGTTGTGCTTGGGGATGATGCTGTGGGGTTGTGCTAGGGGGTTGTGCTGGGGGATTGTGCTGGGTAGGGTGCTGGGGATTGTGCTGGGGGGTTGAACAGGGGGGGTTGTGCGGGGCGGTTGTGCGGGGCGGTTGTGCTGGTGGGTTGTGCTGGAGGTTGTATTGGGAGATTGTTGTGCTGGGGGGTTGTGCTGGGCGGTTGTGTTGGGCAGTTGCTCTGGGCAGCTGTGCTGGGCAGTTGTGCTGGGATGTTGTGTTGGGGGCCTGTGCTGGAGGGTTGTGCTAAGGGGTTGTGCTAGGGGGTTGTGCGGTGGGGTTGTGCTGTGAGGGGTTGCTGGGGGGTTGTGCTTGGGGTGATGCAGGGAAGGTTGTGCTAGGTGGTTCTGCTGGGGGATTGTGCTGGCGGGACTGTGCTGGGAGTTTGAGCTTGTGGGGTGTTCTGGGGGGTTCTGCTGGGGAATTTCGGAATTGTGTCGTGGGCTGTGCTGGAGGGTTGTGTTGAGGGGTTGTGCTGGGGGGTTGTTCTCGGGAGTTGTGCTGGGGCTTGTGCTGGGGGGTTGTGCTGGACGGGAGGGCTGGGGATTGTGCTGGGGATTTGCGCTGGGGGCTTGTGCGGGGGGGTTCCTGGTGGGATCCAAAAGGCTCGCGTTAGGGTTGGCTCCTAGGGGGTTCTGCTGGGAGGTCGTAATGGGGTGTCGTGCAGGGGGGTTGTGCTGGAGTGTTGTGCTGGGGGGTTGGGGCTGTGCTGTGGTAGACTAATGGGGGGGTTGTGCTGGGGCGGTTGTGCTGGGTGTTGTGCTGGGGGGTTGTGCTGGGGTGTTGTGTTGGGGGGTTGTGCTAGGAGATTGTGCTGGATGTTTGTGCTGGGGTATCGCGCTCGGGGCTTGTGCTGGGGGGGTTGTGTTGGGTGTGTGTGCTGGGTGTTGTGCTGGGGGGTTGTGCTGGGGGGTTGTGCGGTGGGTGGGGTTGTGCTGTGGGGGGGGGGGTGTTTGGGGGTTGTGCTAAGGGGTTGTGCGGTGAGGTTGTGCTTGGGAATTGTGTTGGGTGGCTGTGCTGCGAGGTTGTTCTGAGGGTTGTGTTGGGGAAGTGTGTCGGGGGGGGGTATGCTGGAGTGTTGTGCTGGGGGGTTGTACTGGGGGGTTGTGCTGGGGTTATGCTGGAATTTTCGTGTTTGGGCTCTGCGCCGCCCAGCGCAAGCCCCCAGCACAACCCCGCAGACCCCCCCCCCTGAACAACCCCTCAGCACAACCTCCCAGCACAGCCCCGCATCACAACCCCCCAGGACAACCCCGAAGCGCAACTCCGCGGCGAAACCTCCCATCACAATCCAAACACGCCCATCAGTAGTAGTAGTAGTAGTAGTCGTAGTAGTAGTAGTAGTAGTAGTACTAGTAGTAGTAGTAGTAGTAGTAGTAGTACTAGTACTAGTACTAGTACTAGTACTACTACTACTACTACTAGTACTAGTACTAGTAGTAGTACTAGTACTAGTAGTAGTAGTAGTAGTAATAGTAGTAGTAGTAGTAGTCGTAGTCGTAGTCGTAGTCGTAGTCGTAGTCGTCGTAGTAGTAGTAGTAGTAGTATAGTAGTAGTAGTAGTACTAGTAGTACTAGTAGTAGTAGTAGTGTTAGTGGTAGTGGTAGTGGTAGTGGTAGTGGTAGTAGTAGTAGTAGTAGTAGTAGTAGTAGTAGCAGCAGCAGTAGTAGTAGTAGTAGTAGTGTAGTGGTGGTGGTGGTGGTGGTGGTGGTGGTGGTGGTGGTGGTGGTAGTAGTAGTTGTAGTAGTGTAGTAGTAGTAGTAGTAGTAGTTAGTAGTAGTAGCAGTAGTAGTAGTAGTAGCAGTAGTAGTAGTAGTGGTAGTGGTAGTAGTCGCCGTCGTAGTCGTAGTCGCAGTAGCCGTAGTATTGGTAGTAGTAGTAGTAGTAGTAGTAGTAGTAGTAGTAGTAGTAGTAGTAGTGGTAGTAGTAGTAGTCACAGTAGTAGTCATAGTAGTCATAGTAGTAGTAGTAGTAGTAGTAGTAGTAGTAGTAGTATTAGTAGTAGTGGTAGTAGTAGTAGTAGTCGTAGTCGTAGTCGTAGTCGTAGTCGTAGTCGTAGTAGTAGTAGTAGTAGTAGTAGTAGTTGTTGTTGTTGTTGTTGCTGTTGTTGTTGTTGATGTTGTTGTTGTTGTAGTAGTAGCAGTAGTAGTAGGAGGAGGAGGAGGAGTGGTAGTAGTAGTGGTTGTAGTAGTAGCAGCAGTAGTAGTCGTCACACACACAAGTCATACGCCAGAGGCGCGTGGACGCTGACAGTACTGTACAACGCTGTGCTTCCACATGCGCTGATCATGCACAATGTCAGAACTCATATTGGCACGAAATGACTCTCTCTGCACCATGGTCGTCCACGCGTTGCGCGGACGCCCACAACGCCTGACATACCGCTGCGAAGCCGGAACCGTGGTGTTCGGGACGAACGTATGGGAGCGAAGAACATCTGCGGCAGGTGATCGGGCGACCTTCCCGTAGAGCAGCCATTGTTCCTGCAGCAAGCGCCTGTCCAAGGGTTGGCAGCTGGCCCTTTGAAGCACTGTTGCGTTGGATATACGAGACACATACACCTTAGGCGATGCTTAAGAAAACTTAAGTTTTCGGCCAGAGTCTCGATTATTCTTCATGTTTCACTGTAAATCCCAAGATTTTAACAGAAATGTTCGGTGTTCCTTCAAGTTATGAGACTATGAATTTCTTAACTCATGATTTCTTAAGCATTTCGCAGGGTGTAAGACGAAGGAATGCGCAATACTGATCTCAAGCATCGGCAATAGAAAGCCTTCGGTCTCCGGGTCTCGGCCGCGTTCCGCCATGCAGACTGCAAGCCGTACATGAGCTTCGACAGAATGACGGTGTCGAAGATGCGTACTTTTCTGGACAGTGAGAAAGACGTGTGGCCCCACAGCCTTTGCAGCGCCGTGAAGTCTCCCCACCCCTGTCCCAGCTTGCGAGATAACTCCGGCATGATCTGTCCGTCCGCGTAGATCTCCACGCCCAAGTAGGTCATGCTGTCCTTCATCGGAATAGCGTCCCCGGTAGGCGTCCGGAGAACATGCTTTCTCTTTACTCCGATCAGCTGAAACTTTGACCAGTGAAGCGCCATGCCGTACAAGCCACCGACATGCGCGACAGAGTCTAGCAGTTCTTGTAGTCGGGCTTGGCTGCGGCCTGCCAAAAGGGGGTCGTCTGCGTATAGGATGCACTCCATGCGCCCAGCTTCGAGGTCTGCCCGGGCCTCCAGCGAGAGTCTGGCCGAAGCATCGTGGACGATCACTGTCATGAGCATCACGAACAAGAATGGGGACAACGGGCATCCTTGAGAACTTCCGGATTTTTGCTCTCTGCTATCCGACTTTGCGTCGCCGTCGATGACGCAGAAACGGCGTTCCGAAATATGTGCTGCACCATTCGGACATATTTTTCTGGTAATCCGAACCGGCGGAGGGCCACCATGAGCGCGTGCACGTTGGTAGAGTCGAACGCCTTCTGCCAGTCTAAAGCCACCATGCCGACTTGCCCGTCCTTCCAAGCCAATTCCATATCAATGCGCCGGCGCACCATGAAAATAGCGTCGCCGATGCTCCGGCCAGTGCGGAAGCCGAAGTGCGTGTTCGTCACGCAGTTTGCCTTGGTTTGCCGAGCACCGCTGGTACGCAGCATCTAGAGCAAGGACAAATTGCAGCTTCTCGTCGAGATCTCGGCCATTATGTCGAGCATAAGCGCACACGATGTCCATGGTGCCCCCCTGGACCCGCAACTTCACGCAGCAAATCTGGTCAGACACTTGTGTGTACGAGCGCACCGATGGACACCACCGCGGCGACACAATCACCCCAACTCCTGCCCAGTTCTTGTCTGGGCCATCGCTGCCAGAAAGAATAATCATATAGCCATTATCTCACTTCACGCTGCTCTCCGCGATTCTCGTCTCCTGAATGCAAAGCACGTCTATGCCAAAAACTTCCATGTTACGAATTTGGTCGGTAATCTTCAGATCACTTAGGCCTTTGACGTTCCAGGTCCCACTCGTCAAAATTCCTGGGCATCGCCGGCCATGTCCCCGAAGTCCTGCTGACAGGCTTCTGCTGCTGCGGGGTGAAACTGCGTCCACGCACCCTTGGCCCCATCAATGGCCCTTGCCAGAGCCTTTGCTGTTCCCAGCGCGGCTCTTCGCAAACCGGTCTTGCGCAGTCTTCGTTATGGTCTGCAGCTCCTGCGAGTTCTTGAGTTCCTGCCAGACCGCCCACTCCTGATTCAGCCACTGGACCTCGAAGGAGTTCCCGGCCACCGTCACCTTCACCACCTCCTTCCCCGCCACCTTCATGATCCCCCTTTCGCGGTCGATGGCGACGCACTCCTTCGCAAAGTTCCGCTCCAGAAGCTGGCCCCTGAGGCTCCGCAAGTACCCCACGCACACCCGGTTCTCGATGGGCGCCTCGATGTCGCACCAGATCCGTTTCATGCTCCCGTCCCTGCTCTCGTTCGACTTGGCCGCCTCATCCCTGAGAATCTTCAGGCCCCGGGAGGCCCCGTCTGGATCCGAAGACTTTGCGAACACCAGG